CGCCGCCCTTGACAAGGATACCCTGCTGCGCACCCACTCCAGTGCCGACCATGACAGCTGTAGGCGTGCTGAGACCGAGAGCACATGGGCAGGCAAAGACAATGACCGAGATGCACAGTTTAAGACAGACCATAAACTTGCCTCCGTTATTTTCAGACAAGAAGATCTTGGGAGGGTGAGGTAGAATATGGCTCATGAACATCCAGCCGAAGAATGTTACCAGACCAAGACTGATGATAGCTGGAACGAAGTAGCCCGCAACAACATCAGCCATCCGTTGGATCGGAGCCCGGCTAGTTTGAGCATCTTGAACCAACTTGACAATCTGACTCAGCTGAGTGTCCTTGCCAGCTCGAGTAACCTTGAAGTCCATGGAGCTAGTGCCGTTGACTGTGCCAGCAATGACAACACTACCCTTGGCCTTGTGGATTGGCAAAGCTTCACCAGTAATCATGCTCTCATCGACATAGCTTTCACCGCGAATGACAACGCCATCAGCCGGTACTTTGTCACCAGGGTGAAGAAGCACAACATCCCCTAGCTCGATGAGCTCTGTTGGGATTATCTGGTGCCCTGGCCCTGCGCGCTCCTCAGTGGCCGAGGAGGTGTGCTCCTTGGGAATTTCGTTAGGATTTCCCCATTCCTCGGCGAGCTTCTCCGCCGCTATCGGGTCGTCGTAAATAGTCGTCATTGATGGTGCAAGGGACATGAGCCGGGAGAGAGCGGCAGAGGTTTGGCCCTTGGCCCGATTCTCCAGCCATCTTCCGAGAGTAATAAAGGTTATAAGCATGGTGCTTGTATCAAAAACTGTACTTGGGCGAATATCATTCACCGAAAGCAACGAAACAACCATGGTAAACACACTGTAGAAGAATGCCGCAGAGGTACCAAGCATAACGAGAACGTCCATGGTTGGTGAGCGATGTTTCAAGGATTTGTAACTGGCTACGTAGAATCGCTTTCCAATGCCAAATTGCACCGGTATAGTGAGCAGAAGACAGGCAACATCACCAAGGTAGAGACCGGAACATAGTCTAACACGGCCGAAATCAAGGACCGGAAGATACATCGGCAGTAGCATATTGATCAGGAACACGGGGACTGCAAATGAAGCAGAGAATAGGAATGAGCGCTTCCATTCCCGAACCTCTTTGGTTTTGGACAGCGATTCCAGCTGCGCATTGGTATCATCGGACTGGGACAGGAGGGCATTGTATCCGGCCTTTTCGATCGCTTCGACGATCGAACGAATACCAATCTTGGAGGACTCGTATGACAATGTGATTTGAGAGTTGGCCATATTTACAGACGCTGACGAGATTCCGGGGTTCTGGTGTAGTGTGTCTTCCAAGGCCGAGGCCGAGGCAGCGTCGCGCAAGCCGTGGAGGCTGAGAGTGACACGGCCAAGGCCTTTGGATGTAGGCGCCTGTGCTTCCGATGAAAGGACGGTAGTGTCGAAACCGGCATCGTCGATTATGCTGACAATTTGTTTCGTGGTAAGGGTCGTAGGGTCGTGAGTGATAATCGCACGCTCGGCTAGCAAGCTAATGTTGAATTGCACTACACCGTCCACCCCGCTGAAGGCATTCTGTATACTCGACGTACAAGCACCACACGTCATACCATCTATAGACACCTTCGTGACCATCAACCCGGATGCAGAGCCCGACAAATCCTCCGAGGTGCGGACAGCGCTCTCCTCCGTCGAGGTTTCCAACACCTTTGCGCCAAACCCACGGTCCTCGATAATCTCTGCAATCTGGTCGGGCGTAACGAGAGATGGATCATGCTCCACGACTGCTCGTTCGGAAAGCAGAGATACATTGACTGAATGCACACCAGGTGTATCCTTCAATCCTCCCTCCACCGCGGAGGTGCAAGCACCGCATGTCATGCCCTCGACCGCCAACGTCGTGGTTGACAGCTGAAACACTTTATCCCTGGCCCCGCGGGAACCATCCGCCGGCGTAGACGCACTATCCGTAGAGACGATCGTTGCATCGAAGCCGCAGTCCTCAATAATTTCGGCGACTTTCTCCGCAGGAAGCAGGGTTGGGTCATGATGGACTACAGCGCGGCCCATCATCAAACTGACGGTCACTTCGCCAGCACCCTCCACCCCCTTGAAGGCGCCCTCGACGGCGGAGGTGCAAGCTCCGCATGTCATTCCCTCGATGTTGACTGTTGTGGTCGCCATATGGGCTGCTGATCGGTCGGAAGGAGCGCCATCAGTGCCGGCGCTTAACAGAGCGGAGGTTGAGGCCGCCATGTTGCGCCGAGTTGCTGCAGAAGCCGGACAAGGACGGTCGGGACGCGCGGTGGTGTGTTAATGCATGCGTTCGTTTGGGGAAGAGGGGGACGAGGAGGTCGGGGGAGATAATAATAAAGGAAGGGAGGGGAAAGGAATAATAAGCAGGAAAATGCTAGTAACACGCAAGGGTCGTTCGATTAAGAGACATTCGGACCGGATGCGACGGAAAGGATACGCCGAGCCTTTTTAAACATGCAGCAATTAATTACATCAAGGACACTAAGACAAGGACTACTTACTTACTTTCACTACCGGATGGTACGGGAGCTGAAATGGGGGTTTTTGCACGGGAAGGAACCTAATCTTAGGCCACCCACAAAGAGCGTGGGATGGGAAGAAAGAATGGTAAACAGCAGGTAAAACCAAGAGGTCCAAGACAAGACATACCAGGCGGCGGGAATCCCATTCAACCACGGACTAAGATTAGATCGAGGTCTGGAGGAATGATGCCAGGCGCATCCCAACCCACCGCAACGATGGCGCTAACAGAAAAATACGCAGTAGATGGCGTCAGGTTGTCTCCGCCGCCCCGCGAATTTACGTGAGTTTTTCTTCCCCAAATCGGGCAACATTGCCGCTTCAGGGCATTTGGAAGGCTGGGACCACTCGTAGTATACTTACTGTAGTCGAAGCTTAGTAGGTATTGAACTCAATACCCGTGTTCATGGTTCACCTTTCAAGGCTATGCAGTAATATTGTCAATAAGATCGTATAGTATCAGCTGAGCTGTCCGATCCAGCTCAATAAGCCACCCACGCATGCGCTAGCACTTATCTATCTGGCCTGTACTACCCATCTAACGGTTGCTTATCTGCCTGCACACGGGCTCTGGTATGAACCCTCCCCATGAAAGGGATATACCCAGACCTTTCGCCCAGACTGCCAGGGAAATGACCAGGTCTGATGCTGCGACACGAGAAGCATCATGCTTATTATATGCTCCATCCTAGTAGCAGCTGTCATGGGATATCAAACTCAGACAAGGACTGAAGGGTCTGGAGGGTGAAACACTTGGCACCGAACCGGCTTCGTTTCGATTATATGGAAAGTAGCCGAATGAGTGACTTGAAAAGAACCGGATTTGTCTGTAGTAAATAGACTGTACTCTAGTGAGGAGTGAGGCAACTAGTTCATCACAGTCATCATGAGCAGAGTAATTTATCAGGAACGGAAGCTGACAATGTCATTGACTACAGCAGACAAGATCACCATTCAAACATACAATTGTATATCATTGTTTGCATCTAATGCAAACACTGGAGGAGACACCATTGCTCCTCCCATACCATCATACTAATCACCATCACCATCAACAACATCAGCACCACTATCATCCCTCTACAGTACCACAACTAATGGAACACTCGTCACCACAATTCGCACACTGATACACAGACCCATCTACAACCTCAATCCACATTACCAACCGAATCATCCTAACCTCACCACACACCCCCTCATCTTCACCACCACCACCAGCATCACCACAAAATGGACCAAATACACACCCGGGCCCTCGAAGCCCTCCAACCATTCATCCACCTCGCCACCTCCAACAGCGCGACCTCCCCACGCTTCATCACAAACCTAATCACCAACGCAACCTCCAACCCAAACACCTACGTATTCGCCGAACTCCTCACCACCCCAGCCATCCAATCCCTGCGGGACCCCAACACCCCAGCCGAATATGCAAGCTACCTGACTCTGCTAGAGATCTTCGCCTGGGGCACATGGCAAGACTATCAATGTAAGCCTTCTGGCCCCGAATACCCACCTCTCCCAAAGCCTCTGACTAACTGAAACAGCAACACCCAACCTCCCCCCCCTCAACGACGCCCAAACACTCAAACTCCGACTCCTCTCCCTCCTCACCCTCTCGACAACCACCACCCCGCTAACCTACAGCTCCCTCATGACGGCCCTCAACATAACACAACCCTCGGAGCTCGAATCCCTCGTCACAAAAGCCATCTACGCCTCACTGATCACCGCCCGTCTATCGCCCGCTTCCACCCCACCCACTGTGAACGTCACTTCCGTGGCGCCGCTCCGGGACGTGAAGCCCGAGTCGCTGGGTAAGATGATCGATATTCTGACGGCGTGGGAGACGCGCTGCGGGGCTGTGATTGGGGATATTGAGGCCGAGATATTGCGGATTAAGACGGAGTCGGCGAGACGGAGGGCGGAGGAGCGGGAGAGGGAGGTGTTGTTTGAGAAGGCGCTTGCGGGGTGGGGGGCTAAGATGGAGGAGAAGAAGGTCGGTGGTGGTGGTGGTGGGGGGTGGCAGCAGGGTGGTAGGGGTGGTGGTGGGGTGATTGGAGGGAATAAGAGGGAGTTTGCGGCGGATGAGTTTGATGATGATGATGGATATTGGGAGCATGGGCTTGAAGGAGGGGATGGGATGGGAGGTGGGGGATCTAGGATGGATATTGATGATGGGGCTGGAGTGAGGTTGGGTGGTGGTGGAAGTGGTGCTTCTTCGGGCCCGGCTAGACAACCCAAACGGGTGTTGGGGAAGAAGTCATAGTTATTTACCTACGGTAGTGGTACTATTACTATAGGCGTGAGTCCCATTATAGCGAATAGCATGGTAGCGTTCCGAGTCTTCGAAAGATTCTATGAGTTTTACGAGTATTAGGAAGCTGAGAATGAAAGTTCATCAAGGTACTGCTTAGAGTCCAACATAATATGGCATCAATATATCATAATAATAATAGAATCTAATTACCGTGGACTAACCACAACACCAAAGCCTCAGAGAAATCGTTTAACGTACATGCAAATCCAGCAGATGAGGGGTATTATGTAGAAAGGTAAATAAACAATGAAAGAAAAACCCAATATACACAGGGTGTGGGGTGTGTCTGTGAAATGAACGTCGTGACCCGACGGACCTGGTGTGTCACGCCAGTCCATGGATAGTTGGTAGGTATAAATCCCATATGCGATGGGACCAGAGGCATGAGCAGCCATCACTGGTGCTCCAAGCACTGGGTATCTGTCCCTTCTCATATTAAGAGAATCCCCGAGGTCATTCGGGGAGGAAGAAACTCTCTCTCTGTATCCATGCGCTGAATTGGACCCAAGAAGCAAGATCGCTGGCTAACGCTCAGAAAGAATCAAGATGCACATATATGCTGCCCAAAAGCGGTATCACGCGGCCGTAGAAATCGAAAACAGATTTCGGAAAGGAAATCGGCAAGGGTATACGCGATATTATGGAAATTAGAGCATAGTACCGGGCACAAAGATGAACAGTATACTCAACGCTGCGGCGACAAAAAAGGCGATCATGGCCGTGGCCGTGGCCCGCTTGTTCAGCAGTTTGCGCACGTATGGCTCGCGAATCGGCGACCAATTCATGAACGTGTACTCGCTGTAGCCGAGGAACGCCATGACCGGGTCGATCTTGTACTGGTACGAGACGATGAAGTAAGAGGCAATGGCAAAAGGTAAGATCAACTGGTCAGGTGTTAGTCGAATGTCAGGCCTCGCATGGGATTGGCTACTTACCCAGCAACGAATATGCCGTGGTTTATCCCGGAGAACCACGTAGAACGCGCCCCAGAAACCTCCACCGAAGCTAATGAGGGCGAACGCCAGCCGTGCGAGAATCGTCAAGGGAACCAGATTTCCCAAAGCTTTGGCCTGCAAGAACCCTGGAAAAGCGTCGCGCTCCATTGCCTGAAAGACATAGTCTTTCGCCGGATCGAATACTTCAGGATCATCTCTGCCGTCGTCTTCAATCAGATTGATGATGCCGGATACCATCTCCTCGGGGAGAACAATTTCTCTCTCTGCCCCCGGAAGCAGGTACGTGTAGAGGATCTTCTCGGCGCTGGCGCGAATATCGGCACGTGCCACCGTATGGCCTGGCGAAGGCGAGTCATTCCGAGTCCCAGAACTGTCCCGAGGTTGCAGCTCATTCGATGTGGTGCGAGCAGCATTCTGCGAACCCAGGCTGCTTTGAGGCGAGTGTCCGGATGTTTGACCTTCAGAGCGGAGGAATGCAGACAGTCTTTGGTCGGCATCCCGGTCGCCGACATCGTTTAATCCATGGCGTGAGTTGGAAGGACCAGCTTCAACGAGTGGGATGTCGTTGTAATGCTCGAAGTTATCCAATGCCCCGGAAGATCCTTTGCTGTCGGCTTTCTCAAGATCAGGCGTAGCTACCAAAACGGACCGACGTAGTTCCCGAACGTAATGACGACAGAGGGACATGTGTTGCGAGACATCGAGCCTAAAATAGAGACATAGGTTATTAACAGCACTCCAGCAGGTAACACAATGTTTCCCAATCATACCAGAAGTCCAGATAATCCACCGAGCGCTGTTGATCTCGCATATAGATATAGAAGGAAAACAGGTCGACGGGAGCGAGGGTCCGGCGACTGAGGACCTCGAAGAGCGTGGGGAGGCGATTGCGCTGCTCCAAGCTCGAAAGAGAGGGCGACGCCATGATGGAACGAGTGTTGGGAATCTCTCTTGCTGAAGGATAGGTGTTGGAATTTTCTTTTACTCTTCCTGAATCAGGCTCGAAGGAGCTGCGCCGCGATGAGGGGCCGAAAAGGGGAACGAGCGAACGTCGGATTTGAGTTAGGGACGGGGGTTTGACAAAGGAGTCGAAAGAGCAATTGGGAAGGGATCCGGCGTGTTATGTCTGTAGCTGATCGAGGAAAAGGCTGGCGAGACGCGACGATAAAAAAAAAGAAGGACGGTCAAACAGTCGGAGTTCGGCAGTTGAGCATGGGATTGCAGTGATACGGGGACGAATTGAGGTCGAAGTGCAAGCCAGGAGGCCCTGCAGAAGGTCGTAAGGTATTCCGAGGCAGTAAACAAAACAGCCGACCGACTGCAGGAGAGGTCAGGAAGTTGCGACAGAAGCCATCCAGGAGAGGCTCGGGAAGTGGATTCACAGGCAGCAACAGAGCGAGAGCGAGAGGAGGAGGAGGTGAAAAGAGATTGACGAAGCCAAGGGTAAAAGCGAGGGAAAGGGTGTGGATGGCCAGCCCGCAGACACGCAGCGACGGGCGAAAAGACGACTAGTTTGGAGTTCGTTGATTCGTGATGCCTGAGGGAGGTGCCTGAGTCCCCACTCCCTTTCCAGCAATGGTTCCTCGCATTAATGTTTCCCCGAAATGACCTGGTTCCACTTGCGGCCGATCTTTTGGATCTTTTGACACTCGCCAAGGGGTAGCCGATGATGATGATGATGATAATTGCTTACTGTCTACGGAATAGAGAGAGAGAGGATAATTTCTCCTTTTCTCTTCGTCCAGTATATGGAAAATACAATACAATCTCTTCTGTAATGCAGGAAAAAGAACTCCGCCCCGCCCCTCCCCAGTCACCTCAATTACGGCACTACATCCTCTGCAACCCTTCTGTTGGTCTCATTTACTGTCCAGCCGACAGGCTCCATCCACATCCATCCCACCCAAAAAAAGCAACCCACGGCGGATCCGCACCGTTGGTTCTCGGTCGGTCCATAATAATATGATTATTGCAGGGCCGTGGCTGGCAAACAAGACTAAACAGAATTTTTTATTTTTATTTTTATTTTTTTTTATTTCTTCCCAAGGACCTTCCAAACTGCAAACTGTGCCCTATAAATAATAATAATAATAATAATGATAATGATAATCTCGAACAATGTCCATTTTGCCCGGGGGCGGGTCATGGACTGGACCGTTATTTTCCTGCAAGCCACCCCAAAAACGAGTGTTTTGCTTTATGTGCACTGGGCAAATAATTAATTAGATCAAAATACCGGGACGGCAAATGATGAAAATCGTGCCGATAATAAGCCCAGTGACCCCCCCCGTTTCTATTAATCTTCGTTTTAAGGTTACTCAATGATATCATTGTTTATGGTCCCTCTTTTTTTTTCGGTTCCTTTTTCCTACACCAACTAGAAAGCATAGAGTAACAGGCATATTGCATAGAAAATGAATTAACCACTTAGTGTACTTACTCTTCACCGCTATGTTCATGTCCTGCTTACCATTCAGAAAATATGCCAAATGAGCTTGCTTCTTAAGACACTTTTAAGCTAACGCCAAGGCTAACGTTTCAGTCCAAACTCTCTAACATGTCAGACCTCCATGGTTTGAAATGGTAACTCCTTCATGGTCAGCTGAATATTTATTAGCATATTTATGGAGGTTGCAATCGACCGGTCTTATCTCTGCACCTTCCTCGACTGACGGGGTTCATAAAGAATTGCAGCTTTGTGTTTGTACTGGACATTTTCCAGCTTTGCGTCTGTACTGAACATTTTACGTCGAACGAGTCCTTCAAAGATCCAATGAACAGATCTTACAGTATACATCCAGTAATGATTAATTCAAGTGAGACAAATTGTGTCCATTCAGTTATTCCCAAGTTGAACTTACCCACTGTTTCTACCCAGTATACTACTATACTAAACATGCTACGGCGATTAGGAGGACAGTCGGGCAAGCCGTGCTTATTGAAGAGGTCTTAGAAGGATGTAACGGAGTTAACGGATTCGGGCTTCGGACTTCTACGGACGGTAATAACTATATCAAGGATCCCAAATCCCAATTGATTTGATCATAATCAGTTCTCGCAGATTGATATCATCTCAACTATCATCTCAACTATTCCATGCAAAAGAAAACATGACGACCTCCAAAATCCTCGTTCTCATCACCGGTGCCAATCAAGGCATCGGCTTCGCCGTGGCACAGCAGCTAGCTAGCTCAAGCAAGTTCCATGTGCTAGTCGGCGCACGCACGACACTCAAGGCCGAAGCTGCAGTCAAGGAGCTGGAATCGGATGCAGTGGACAAATCAGCTCTCACACCCATTACCATTGATGTGACAGATGATGCGTCCATCGCTGCAGCTGCTCAGACCGTCTCGGAAACATTCGGACGTCTGGACATCCTGATCAACAATGCGGGTATTGCGCAGACACCCGCCACTACCCTGCGCGAGCAATACCGGCAAGTATTCGATGTCAATGTGTTTGGCATCGTGGTTGTCATGGATACATTCCTCCCGCTGCTGCGTGCATCGACGTATCCCGATCGCCGCATTGTCAATGTCACGTCCGGGCAGGGTCTGATTAGCAGAGCCGGCCACAAGGATCATCCGGCTAGCGCAAAGACCTATTTCATACCTGACTACCGCAGTAGCAAAGCAGCGGTCAATATGATCACCGTCGCTCATGCGGTAAAGCTGGCTGATGAGAAGATTGCCGTCGTTGCGGCTGCCCCGGGCTACTGCCGCACCAGTATCAACGGAGGTCAAGGAGTCAAGGAAGCAAGCGACGGGGCCAGGGTCATTGTGCGCGCTGCCACAGAAGGCGACCCGGAGAAACTGAGTGGGACGTTCGTCGCGGACGAACAATGGACCCTTGGGTGGTGATAGCGCGTAAGGGAGCATATAAGCAAACGTTTTTGAGCATGGCTGCGACCGATCAATGCGTTTGGTATTGTCGGAAATTATTGAAACACGAAATCAATAGAACAGACAGGCTAAAAGCTAAAATAAACCATGTCCTCCACGCCTGGGTATTTGTTCACGCCACGGAAACGCCTTTTAAAGAACTCCAACATACAGAGTACGCTAGTATCAATGCCCGTCGGCCAAATGCTGTGTCATGTTAGCTATCGCGAACAGGTATAGGTATAGGCATCCAAGAAGGAGAATCAGGTTCCAATACTCACCGACCACTCCGGGATATTTCGTATCTGTTGCCACATGAACTTCTCTAGTTTATTGGCACTCTTCGCATAGGGCGTATTCTCGTTATTGTACCTCCGGCAATTGTCAAATATCAACATAGCATCTTTAATAAAGTCTTGCGGCGTCGGATACATGTCCTTCTCATGCTTTTCTTCCATGGTTGATAGATCCATGGGCTCCTTGATGACTTCATAATAGTCAGGAACCTCATCGCGATTAACTGGCTGAGTAAATGGCCATGCCGCGCTATGGTTCTGCATATCATTAAGGAGATGTAGCAGCTGATTGTAGTTGGGCCCGTGGCGTGGTTGACGTGCTAGCTCATCCATGTCCGGTGACCATCCCGACTCTTTGATGGCTGGTATACTCAATGGGTCAATCTTACACGGACCATTCTTCCATTCCTTCGGGGGTACGTGAATGATATGTGAGCGACTGAATGCTCGGATCTTCGCGTGTACAGCTTCCTTCTGCTTCAGAAGCATGCGGCCAACCTCGAGGTACCGTATCTTGGGTAGCATAGTGCACTGCATGATTGTACCACCCTCATAATCCTTGATGTATCCCATCCAGACGGATTTGTCGAGTGTAATTTCTTTGGTGAACCCTTGTTTCTTGAAGTACCCAATGGCGTAATTATCGGCGTATGTGAGGAAGTGCATGATGTCCGATGTGGCTTTGACATAATCCTTGAGATGGGACATCAAGTGCGCACCGTATCCTTTGACCTGCTGGTCGGACGAAATGGCACAGAAAACGATTTCGGCGAACCTGCGACTGTTGAATGGTCGGTATGTGATGCCTCCCACGACTTCTAACGGGTGTTTGACGATGGCCAAGGAAAGATGCGACCTGTCATAGACCAATCGCGCGATGTAGTCTTTAGGCATCTTGGGGAGCTGTTTTTGAAAGATGCATTTGAGACCTGTAAGGACAACAAAGCTGTCGCGAGATCCATCATTGTTGACTACACGAAACTCGATATCGCCGCGACGTTCCTCCAAAACTGCAGGCTTATGTGGAGTCAGCGTCATCGGAGCTCGGGCGGGTTGCGGGCTTGATTGAGGGCTTACCTTCTCCGGGAAGGGAACGATTCTCGGTGGTTTATCCAGCAGGTCATCTTCGGTCTAAGGTAGGCACAGTACATTAGTCTCATACTCCAGACAAATACGAGGATATGCAACATACCTTGGGTTCCCTCTCGGGGGAGTCAGTGCGCGCCTTCTTGTGGGAATCTGGGGAGAGCGCCTCCTCCGATGCTTTCCGCTTGGCACCTGGACCTGACATGAGCAAATGGACCAGAACAGTCGCAAGACGCGTGATCCAGAATTGAGACACTTACTATCTGTGATTGCAGGCATGATGCGCGACGAATTCCGATGACTTCTGGACGAAAGCGTCTTTAACCTCATGCGACTCTCTCCACACGAGCTGCGGCCGCGATACGGGGAGCGGAACGGGAAGAAGTTGATCCGCGGCCGTCAAGCCAGATAACCAATTACTAGTTCGGGCTCCATGGCATTACGACGACAGCTTGAGGGAAGCTCCCTCTCCTTCTTCTCCTCATTTCCTCTCTCTAACTGTCTTCTCTCCTTTATACACAAGCCCATTGGAATTAAGTGCATCTCATAAGTCCTCATGTCTCTGAACGAAGTCTGGCAGGCAGCTTCTGCGAGCCCGTATACTCCCCTAGTCTCTAAAGACAGCCAGTTCTTTGTCGGCTTCAGTCTACTACTTGCTGGTGAGCCGGACCCGACCTCTCTCACACACTAAACAACAACTAACTTACAACAGCTTTCATCCTTACTGGACTTTTCGGATTGAGTCAGTACACCACGTCAGAGATCATTTCCACATATGAAATGTCTTGCGCCATTGTCACAACCATATACTTACAACTTGCCGCAGATCGTTCCTTCCTCAGCATCGCTTCCTTCGGAGTCCCGGCATCTTTGGCGTTTGGGTAAGCCACGAATCTACCCTAACAACAGCCACCCTATCAATAATCGCTAACAAATTCCCCGTCCAGCTTCGGAGCCGTATTCATGATCTGTGCCGTTGGGGTCTACGTTTAAAAAATTTCCAGTTGTTTCCCAGATACCCATGTACCATACACTGGAGAGTTTGAAACGAAGCAAATCGTTACCTTTATAATCACCCAAAGTTCTCTTCGCACTCCAGCTCTCTATCTTAACATAGCTCTCGAGTCTCTACTCTGTCGTGCTTAAGCCAATTCCACTCCAAACCATCATGACGGACACGGAACCCATTTTCACTGCTGTCTCCAGCAATGCCCACCATCTCTACACTCTCCTCCAATGCATCGGCTTCACATCCAGGGCCACGGTGCAGATAACCCCAGATGGAATCCGCTTCTCCGCCGAAGAGATGCGAGTCATCCAGGGGCTCGCATTTCTCGACAAAGCCCTCTTCACCAGTTACACCTTCAACCCACCAGCCGCGCCAAACCAAGGGACAACAGACAACAATGACAACGACGACGATACAACTTCCGACCCCTCCACCTACTACCCGTGCTTCGTCGTCTCCTTGTCCGCCCTCCTAGAGACCCTGAAGATCTTCGGCACCAACGACTCCTCCACCAACCCGAACGCCGGTCGAGCATCCAGCGTCCAACCAACCCACCCATCCGGACCTGGCGCCTTCTCCGCCCCCTCCTTACTCCTAGACCGCTCCTGCACAATCCGCTACACCAGCGAAGGCTCTCCCCTCAGCATCACGCTCTCAGAGACGGGCGTCAAAACCACCTGCGAATTAACAACCTACGAAACCGAAGGCAGTGAAGTCGACATCCCCCTCCAACGAGATGCCATCATCATGAAGATCATCATGCGCTCTGCCTGGCTCCACAATGCCATCTCAGAACTAGCCGCCACAAGCCCATCGGTATTGAAGATCTCCGCGTCCGCGACCCGGAAACCATTCTTCGCTCTCTCCGGCACGGGAGGCTCGTTCAGCGAGTCATCTGTAGAATTCTCCGTCGAGAATGGCGGGGCTAATGGTCCGGGAGGTGATGCAAGAGGCTCAATTGATGAAGGGTCCCGTGCGAAGAAAGCTAAACTTGCGCCGACTGTCACGGAGACGTTCCATGTCAGTCCGCCGTCGTCGATGGGGTCGCGTCTCAAGCAGAATTACAAGTTCGCGCTGATTCAGAAGGCGGCGCGTGCTATGGCGGTGGCTAATAAAGTGAGCATTCGTGGGGATCGCCAGGGTGTATTGAGTCTTCAGTTTATGATTGAGTTTGATGCTAATGGGGCTGGTGGTGTACGGCCGCTGAAGGGTGGTCCGCCGCCTGTTGTGACGTTTGTGGATTTCCGGTTTGTGCCGTTGCTGGATGATGAGGAGGGTGATGATCTGGAGTGAGTGGTACTAGAGAATATATGGGTTGGGTCTATATAGTGGACTCCATGGGATATGTCAAAAAGTAATATAGTGTTCCCTTTTGGTTCCCCAACGCCGCCTCATGCTCATTGACCATACCGAATACAAGGTAATCTACATAGAACGTAATTATAAGATCGCTGATCGAACCACCCTCTTCTCGCAGGGCAAGGCTTGTAGTCCAAGCCATGATTGGAAAATTGAAGAGCGGTCAAATCACATAACCTGAAAACGACGTCAGTCCCGAAATATCACTCCCTAACCTAGGTATAGTTCACACCTAGGGATAACGAAAAAGGGAGCAAACATACCTCAGCAATAGACTGCCTCTCAATAATCGACTTCTGCTTCTCATTCCTCGAGACCCGATAATAGTAGTCACTGAAGTCACCGCACTGCATATGCCGCAAGAACTCCTCGTCATGGGTAATGACAATAAGCTGGAAGTTGGCCTGTTGCTGTCTAGTCCTAATGATGTCATGAAGCGATTCCGCAAGCGAGCGAATATTATCACGGTCAAGATTGGTCGTGGGTTCATCAAGAGCAATCAGGCCGCAGTTGACACCGAAGCACTCCGCAAGAGCGAGTCGGATGATGATACTTGCCAACACCTTTTGACCGGCACTGCAGCGGCCGCGCATGTCCATTTCTGCGCCTTGTTTGACCATGCAGACGCGGTAGTTGTAGGAGCGGTTGCCCTTGGCGTTTTCGTTGTCGGAGCGGATGAGGATCGTGTCGACGTCAGTGCCTCGGTAGGTCTTTTGCCAGAGCTCGCTGATAATCGCGTTAATTTCTTCCATTTTGAGCCCATGGTATTTCATGATGGCTTTGTCGAGGGCACCACCGTAGCGTGCTAGGTCGTCCACTGCGGCTTTGGTTGTTTCCACCTTGATGTGCGCTTCCTTGTATTTGCCTGCTGCGTCTTTGTAGTCGGTATTCCAGTCTGCGAGGAGCTGCATCAGTTGGTCGTCTTTTCCTTTCATCTCGCCCATTTTGCTGGCTTGTTTAGCGGCGAGTGCGTTGTGTTCTCGTGCTCTGCGCTCAGATTCTTCTTTAAAGCGGCTTCGGTCGACTTCGGCGTTTTGCGCCGCCAGCTGCTCGATCTCTTCGGTGACTGCGTCGAGAGATCGGGTCGCCTGGCGGTATGTCAGGTTATCGGCGTATTGGCGCTTGGTGTTCTCGCTGTCCTTGAGTTGAGCAGATATCTTGTTGATCTCTTTAGTAATATTGGCTTGCTCGGTTTCGAGATTGCTGATCTCGTTCTCGATGCTTTGCAGTTCACGCTTGCTGCGCTCTAGTTGATGAGGGCCGCCTCGCTCGTTGTAGGCGTCGATCTCCTCGTTTGCCAGTTCAAGTTGGTGTATATTCTCGTAGAGGTGTGAGATCTCCTGCTGCATGTCCTTTTCACGCGCTTCAGCACGCTGGCTGATGTCGTCGTACGTGGCTTGGACCTTGAGAAGTTCAGGGGTTAGATCGTCAATCTCTTTGTCCGCCTTTGCAATGGCTTCGCGTTGTTGGTTGTTGAGGTTCTTGTACTCCTCAATGCGAGCCAGGAGGTCTGCCTTTCGCTCGAGCTTGAATTTCACGTTGTCGAGGTTGCTCTTGACGTCTCTGAGTTGCAGCTCCAATTTGTTCATCTCAGACAAAGTTTGCTCCTTCTCATGAGTGAGTTTCGACAGAGTCTTCTTCAAGGCTCTAGACTTCTCGCCAATTCCCGCAATTTCATCCTGAATATCTTCCAGTGTACGAGAAGCATTCGTATCGTGCTGTTTCGAAGACAAGTCCTGGACCTGAGAGCGTATGGATTTGATTTCACTGTCGTATCTGACAATAGTATTGACCGTCTTTGACAATGACTCGACCTCTTTCTTTTTGTCGGCCTTTTCGCTGACTATCTTGTCGTTCTCTTCCAATTGGCTCAGTAGTTTGTCTTGTTGAGCAGTATACTCTTCTTCCTCTTTCTCCAGATCTGGAATCTCTGTCTGCTTCAGCCGACACCAGGTATCGTAGGCTGTGCTGGCCTCGCGGGCGGCATTAAGGTCCTCTTCGAGACGAGGTATTTCGTCATCCTCCATCACCCGTTTCGCTCTTTTCACTAACCCCTCTAACTTGTTCTTGAAGGTCTGTAGCTCGTTTTCGGTTCGGAAAGTCCGCATGCACAGTCTGCACATGTTTGCCGACTTCACGGTGTCAAGACAGTCGGCCATGTACTTGCTGACTCCGGCGTATTGTTCAGCGTCCTTCCTGGCAAGATCGAGCTGGGCTTGACGCTCCCTCAGGATCTCAGGATATTCTTCCGGTTCGTCATCAACGGCATCGCGGATCTCTCTGATGCACTCCTTGAGTTCCTTCTGTCGCTGACTTAGTGTTTTCTTGACGCCCTTCATTTTGAACTCGACCTGCTCGAGTTCTCTGCTGACTCCATCACGCTCGCGCTCTGCCCTTGAGACATGTCTGGATTCCTCTTCTATGACGTGCTGGTAGTCCTGCTCTAGAGAATCAGGGCGCCAGTTGGCATTTACTAATTTTGCCAGTCGTTCACCGTGAGCTCCTTTCATCGTCTCCAATCCGCGCTCCCGTTCCTTTAATTCCTTCTTAAGGTGGTCTAATCGAGCCAAATCACCAGCCTTCTTTGTTGCCTCGATGAGTTCGGTATTCAAGCGCGAACTCTCGTCCTCAAGGTCGCGGATCTGTGAGTTCACATTCTGAATCTCCTTGTCCCAAGATGCGGATCGTGCGCGCTCCTTGGCTTGGTCCAAACGAGATCCGATGTCTTCGATGTTTGACTCCAGCGCAGCCTGAACGCCTTCGTCCACGTTGATCTCGTTCAGTTTTCCCTGGTATGTGGCTGCTTCCCTATCATTCGAGGCAATCTGTCGCTTGGCTGCGTTTTTGCTTTCCTGTAGCGCAGACTTCTGTTGTCCGATCTGGTTAAGGGTTGCCTGGACGTCACGTAGTTCACTTTGCGCCTCCTTCTTCACCCGTTCCAGTGCCAGGTTTTGATCTTTCAGGATTTTTCGCACTCTCCGCATGAACTCGTCAACGTCTGCCTGGTCCTCGACATTATCGTAACCACGGATATTGTGCGCTCGAGCGACCTCTTTCGTCATCCTCTGTCGCCGCTCAACCTGGCGCTCGAAGTTGGCTTTGTCGTTCTCAAACTTGCCATACTCTGCTTGCTTGACACCCAGTTTTTGTCGAGTTTGTTCTATCTGCTCCTTGAGCTCCATATAGTTCTCCTTCTTGGCTTCTTCCTGCTGCTGGTACTGAAGCTGCCTTGACTCAAACTGCTCCAAGTTCGACTGTAGCCACTCATCGGAGTCGTCTAGCTCAACTAGGTGTCTCTTGAGATTATCAATAGTCGTCTGAATACTCTTGGCCTCGATGCGCTTTCCTTCAAGCGCACCCAAGACCTGAGAGTAACTTTCCGACTCCTTCCACGCCTTATCAGCAAGTTCAGCCACCCGGCGCATTTCCTGAGAGAGCTGGTGTGTTTCTTCGCGCAGAGCTTCAATTTCGTCCTGAAGCTTTATCGATCGTTTCTCAGCACGGTCGGCCTTCTCCTTATCCTCTTTGGCATGTTGCTCCATGATTTTGTACTTGGCAAGCTCCTCATTCTGCTTCTTCCGCAAAGACTTGATATTGTCGATCGCCTTCGTATACTTCATAGCTTCGAATATCTCATCGAACTTCTTCTTCAGCACCGAGGGTTCACTCATTGGCCACAAGCTCTCGTCCTGATGACAGAATATAACGGAGTCCAGGATCGCCTTTGATACACCGAGATACTGAGGCATAATTTGATCCAGCTCCGCCACGCGGGAGGAAATAGACGTCCGCTCACCATCCTTGACCATCAACAACTGACCCTCTAGTGTCTTTTGTTGCCGTGTCGTTTTCTTCACCGTGAGTTGTAGACTCCTCGTAGCGACCATCTTCGCGCCTGACGTGCCTTTGAAGGACAGTTTCACCTGGGCCAGGACTTCCTTCTCGCCACATAGCTGCCATAATAACTCAGCACGTCTGTCCATCCTACTCAATACCATATCTTATAGATTCGCGTACCTTCGGATCATGGATGAACGCACCACCCTTGCTGTTGGGTGGTAAATCGCCGGTGGTCGCATATTTAAGACACTCGATGATTGTCTGCCCCCAACTCCATTAGCCTGACAACCTCCATGATACCGTCATATACCATCCATCATACCGTCTTTCCAGATCCATTATACCCAACAATCAAGGTAAGCGGCGTGTGAAACTGGATCGTCTCGCTGCGCGTATTATCGAACGACCGAACACTAGCGCCCATCACAAGCAACTGTCAGCAAAACACTCCCATACATCTCTTTAACCAAATATATTATAAGAAAGGAGCACTCACCCCAATATTGACAACTTATCTATCTTGGCTGCGACAAACAAACCCTCGATAGTTAGTACCCTCGATCTTTCACACGACCTCCGCGGAACTTACACCTGCGAGCGGACTGATTAGTAAAGAATGTTTGTGGCCGGATGCAGAACAAAATCTCACATTTTGGGACGACGTCACTTCACAATGGAAGGGTAATGGAAGAAAGAAGAAAAGGCCCGGTCCGTTTCCACGGATGCGTAAGGGTAGGTAGCAGGCCTGCAAATCACACCTTCCCCGTGATATTCTTTCTCCACTCGGGATAAAGAAAGCGTGCCGGATAGATAGCGAGCAGCTGCGCTTGGGATCGGCGCGTCAGTCGACGCGGGGAGACGGCGCGAGGTCACGTGTATGGGCGGTCAGTTGGGGGGTGGTGGGTATTGATTTGGGATGTATATGCTTTCTAGAGAACACCACTAGGATGGGATGGAGTAGGTGGCGCTTGATGTTGTGGAGATACTTTGGTAGAGGAATGATTGGATGGTCTGTGGCTTGCTGATACTTTCTGTTCGGGGCATGCTTTCCCTTCCTTGGAGGGACTCTGTACTTCTTCGTGGAACTTATGGGGACGGACGCTCCGTTCTTGGTTGGGTAGAAGAGCCACGATTGAGTTGACTACATGGGCTATAGGATGAAGTCCCTGCTGGATTCTCTGTACACAAGTAAATAGAGGATATCCCTACGCAATATACCTGCGTTAAGCTATTCGATATCAGACTGGCTGCAACAGATGAATCACTGGCAATCCTATCTGGGGGTTTTCATGTTATTTGACAACATCGATGCGGGCAATGCAAAGGTCAGTGAATTATGTGTTGCTACCCCTACCTCTTCGCTGTATCCCGTGTTGCAAGTACCCTTAGGTTCAAGATGCTGTGCCTCAGATGTGAATAGCGGGCATGGCAGCTATGATAATTTCGACTGTAGATTCTTTGGGCTAGAGCGGTTACTCAATTGCACGTAGGATTGATGTTGCGAACACCAGGTGTCACATACAAAAGGCTCACCCTACCTTCCAGCCTTCTCTGGTTCAAAACCCTCTTCTCCCGAACTTATCCTTTTATCGAACCACTCCTAGTCCACTCGCTTCAGATACTGTACCAGTTTACCTCCATTCAGGATGTTTTACTTCAAGAACATCATCGTTCTTTTGTGCTTGTCCTGTCTCTTCCTCAAGGCTAGCCTGGCCACTTCTTCTGCCAACCCTACCGAAGTTGCCAACGTCGATGATGTAGTTGCTGGGAATATTGGCACTGCAGCCGTCAATAACCCTAACGAGGCCTTCGACGATGTCGACGGTAATGGCATGTCCATGGCTACCACAGATGTCGAGGAAGAGTTGAGCTCTGTAAGCACCATCCTATTTGGCTGATGGGATCAATGCTAACCGAGTTCAACAATTACCGTTTCTGCGAAGGCAGATGCAGCGTTTTGAAAGTGTGCAATTGCCATGATAAGAATTATCATTTCTGTGGTTGTCACTACCATGGACTGAGGTGCAGGTGCAAATACTAGTTGTGATTCAACAGTAAGTAAGATCTTCCAGCTGAGTGGTGCATCAGCAAAGCTGATGTTGCCTCTGGAAAGGAGCGGCCGCCAAGCTTCCGTTCCTCCATGTGCATGTCGTAGTTGCTTCTGACGTGTCGAACAAGGTAGACGGTGGGGCTTGGCTAGTCATGGCTCGGTCTCAGAGGATGTGGAAGGATCCTGGAATAACGACGGCAGTAATTGTGGTTCTCAGGTTCCCTGGTAGGGCTTTCACATTGAAAAAAAAAATTTTTTTGCCAAATTGTCAATTGAAGCAGATTGGTTATGTTAATCAATCTTCAGATACTGTGGCACATAAGTTTATATGGGCGATAGAAAGAGCTATGGTATCATCCATATCTGACCATCTCATTGCTCTGCGTAGTAGCTCGTCATCTGTAGTAGCGTAAGTGGGAAGTGCATTCATCCTTTGTAAGGCTGGAAGGAAGAACATAGCATGAGCATCCCCAAGACAGGGGGATTATCCCGCCGGTAGGACATTCCGGGTCTGACCTGCGCCTGGCCTCGCTTAGTACTCTAGGCCATCTCCACCAGCACCTAACAGAGTCCAACGTACCCGTTCGCGTGGGTGCGGTGTGGTCTGACGTCTGCAATTGCACAGACGGGTGACCGTTAGCAGCTGCAGCTTCCCAGCTTTGCATGTTCTTCAATGGTGGGATGACAGATATCGTAGAGGGCGTTCGGTGTGAGTATCCCACGGAGAATTGAAAGAAGGCAAATGCGGATTGCAGGCTCCTCAAGGGATGATAGTCGAGGTAGTCGATAGATAGTCGATAATTTCATCTATTATTGATGCCTGATATCAGCCCCCGAGACAAACTTAGTAGACGGCGGCGCTACGCGATGCACGTCCCTAGGGGATCTAACGGAAGCCAGATAGTCAACCCGTGCTTGACAAGATAATCCCACACCACACCACGCAGGATGATGTATGCTTCAGGGATGAGGTGATCGTGACAGGAAAGGAGTAGGAGTAGAGGGCCATTCAAGAGGGATAGAATCCAGGATAACCCATGGGGGGTATCGCAAGCGGAGCGCAAGCGAAGCAGCAAGAATACCCAACTTTGAAGCAATGAAGCATCGACCGGGATGCCCCCTGCAGCAATCATACAGACATACCGACCTGTATTGTACAACGGTACCTGAAAGTTTCCCGACGCCGCAGCAACCCACCAATCAGCAGCCCGGATAGTGCGGAAATCCCCGGGAAGCCCCATCGGCAGATTTGATTGGCAGCCGCAGTGGATCCCGCGTGTCGGTGCGATACCAATGACGATGTGGCCGACCAAAAGTACAAGAATTGACAGCTCTACTGGATTCACCACCGCGGTCATGTCCAAAAAAAGTTCAAGAAACACTGCTCACTTACCCTCTCCTCTTTCTCTCTCTATCTCCTTTCAATCCCTTTCTGTATCATATTCTTCATAGGGAAACCTACCGAGTTTTTCACCCCCCGGGAAGAAGAGTCCCCACCACCCCGGCGATCGATCGATTTGATCCCCGCGCAGCCCAGAGATGGAACTCGAATTCGATCAAGGACGAAGAGTGGCGCAGAACCAGACTCCGTCCCAGTCATACGGTCTACGAGCCCCAGGGTCGAACTCAAAACCACCGGGGCCCCCGTATAGCATGGACGCGCGGAGTATTCCTCGCTCGATGAGCCGCGGCGCCGCTAATCTGCTTCAACTCTCCGCTTCCGCTACCATCTCTTCTTCCGCTGCTGCTGCTGCTACCACTTCAACGACCCCTGCCATTATCACAAGCACAGTTCCTGCTCTTGCTTCCATACCTACAACTACTACAGCGCCAGCGGGAACCAGCAATCCCCACCACCCCACTCCAGACATAGGCCCTGCCGGCACCAACAATGACGGCTGGTCTGCACGGGTACTAGACGAACTGAAAGACTTGCTCCTTCTCCTCAGTCACGATGGACAGGTTCTATATGCGTCACCATCATGCTCCGAGGTGACGGGTATTGAATCGCACATGCTAGAACAAAGCGATTTCTCCCGTTTCGTCCATGAAGACGACAAGCCTATCCTAGGCCACGAATTGGACGAGTGCATCAAAACTGGACGCGAAATTCGTTGTCATTTCCGGCTCTGTAGGCCTGACAGTAGCTCTTGTTTATTAGAGGCTCATGGACATCCACACCTAGTGACGACCGGGTCTACTTCTTCTGCGATCGCAGAATCATCCCAGCAGCTGCAGCAACAGAAGACAGTCTGTAAAGGGATATTCCTTGTCTGTCGACCATATCCCACGCGGGGTTCACAGTTACTCGATTCGTTTCTGGAACATAAGATCGAGAACATCCGGCTGAACCAGCGCATAGCCCAATTGAAGGAAGAGGAAGAAGAGGAGTTGAATTTGAGACCAGGGCAGACGTCAACAACAACGACAACCAGCACCACTACCACGACAACAACGCGCCAGACGTATGTATCAACGACACAAACCTCGTTCGCGCAACGAGATACATCAGTATCTGGAGAGGAGAATGAATCATCCGACACATTCACTAATACGGACGACGCCGATTCGCGATCATTTCTGGAGCAGATTGGGGATCGGTTGCCACAGACTGAAGACATGTCCCATATCGACGGGATTGAGGTTATGACGGGCTTGTACTACGGAGAAGGAGAAAGATCACAGGGATTGAGTACGGGAGTCCGTCATGGCCGTCTGATTCGTTGTGATGCGGAGCAGCCGAATACCGTTGCTGCCGGTTCTGCTGCTGCTGCGGCTCCTCCAAGCGACCAACAACAGCAGCAACAATTGCAACAGCAACAGCCACAGCAAACACAATCCAAGAATCCTGCAGAGGCCGTTGACAGGAAGAAAAGAATGAAAGGCGAGTATATGTGCACGGATTGCGGGACGTCGGACTCACCCGAGTGGAGGAAAGGCCCGGAAGGACCAAAGACTCTGTGTAACGCTTGTGGCTGTGAGTTTCTCCCCTTCCTTGATCATTCTGACTAGATAAACTTCTGTATCGGTACTGACATTGAAATGTGATCAGTACGTTGGGCCAAGAAAGAGAAAAAACGCCAGGATTCAGGACCGTAGTAGTTGGTGGGAGGGGAAACGCAAAGAAAAGGAGAAGGAAAAAGGTGGGGCTTGCATTTGTATGAATTGTCATTTACTTTCTACTGCTTTGCTGCTGTTGCATTTGCCAAAAGGGGCCAATTTACCCCTGCGAGGATACCCCTGCTTATGTACTCCTTTGTGCATTGTGCTTTTTCTTGTTCTCCTCGGTAGCACATTTTCTTAGCGGCTGCGCTGTCTCAGCATTTGCACTTATTGTGCTCTTCTCCTCTGAAGTGAACAGATATCATGACTTTATGCCCGACTCACTCAAACTATATTCAGCTCAGATTGCAACATAACTTACACTAAAATGAAGTCCGCGTGATACACGTGCGCAGGATAGTATACAATTGAGTCTCGAGAATGTAGATGTAGGGATACTATAGGAAACGGATAGAAAGAACCAAAGTAAATAGAGGAGTTTGAATCCTTTGACTCCAAAGTTTAATATAAGTCAGTTTACTATCGGTCTTACATCATCAACTACAAGCAGGAACTAGGACTATAAATTATCATAGTGTAGATACCTCTAAATACAGTAGAAATAATGTCTCAACGCTCTTCTTCAGTCCAAGATAGAACTGCTATACCGCTTGTTTCCTCGCTACCTAAAATGTTCAGTAGTCAACAATACAAAGTAGTATATTCAACTCAGAGGCAATCTCTTCATATATTAGTTGCTGATCAGGGTGGGATTAGCAGTGATTAACCAATTCAGATATAGCCTCCTAGAACCCTACACAACTCCGTGCAAAATACAAATAACGGGTACTGATATGCAAATCATCACTTCTATTAACGAATCCATCTAATCATCATGATATCTAAACTAGTACTATGTCCCTGGTGCGTATATACTCAAGCGATCTATATCTAACAGCATGAAGAGATGATATCTTATCCTAGCTGCACCGCATCAGTTCTTGTTGGCTCCCTCGTGGACCGCAGTCAGTCCATCTTGAGCAACCTCCTTAACTGAAACCTTTCCACCCAGGATGTCCTTGGTGGTAGCGAGAATCGACTCCCAGCTCTCAAATAGCGTGAACGGAATCTTCTCGCGCTCGCAGAATGTCACCAAATCTGAAAAAAGAGTCAGTAACTACATAACGCAAACCTCAATGTCAGATCTTGGTAAACGCACCCTTGCCCTTCTTGGCAAACAGAAGATCAGTCTCTGCAGCGGCTGACAAATCGGACACGCCATCTCCGGCGTACAACAAGGTCGGGCGCACACCGTCCGGCAGTGCGGCATAAGGCTTGATTTCCAGGGACTTGTCGTGGCCGAAGTGGCTAGCAGTATGACGTCAGTTCTGGCCCAGCGACCGGTTCCAAGAAGATTTCCTTACCTATCGTCATGGTACTTGATCTGCCAGCCCCCCTCAGAGTTGATGTTCTTGCCATCACGGCTCTCGACCTGGTTGGCAACGATGTAGAGGTGATCGTCCGGTTCGCCGCCCAAAAGCGTCTCGAAGAGGGCGCTGATGACTGGAATCATGCCGGAAGACAACACCACGATCGGTACGTTGTTCTCCTTGGACCATTTGTAGAATTCCACGAAGTAAGGATCCAGCTTCATGTTCTTTTTGAGGTACTCGATGCACTCGTTGTAGGGGGTTTTGATGCTGTCCAGCATGTCGCGAAAAGCGTCACTTCGCAATAGAGGTTAGCAGGGCGTCTACATAAGCTGTCTGTACTCACATACCGGAAGCTCATGGTGCCCTCAAGGACGGCCTCATTGCCTTGACGGCGCTTTGCGCGCCCGTAGCCAAGGTTATCGATCTTGTGACCAAGTGTCAGTGACATGCAGGTTTAGTGGTGTGCTTGTAGATTGTAAAGTGTAGATACCATAGCATCATTGCCTGCATAGAGTACTTAGCTCGTGAACTTGCTGTGCGAACTTCGTCTGTACCTACTGTCTTCGAGGGTGATCGTTCCATCAAAATCGGTGAAGAATATGAGCTTGGGGTTCGTTTTCATGTACGGTAGCGTGGTAACAGTCATGATGAAGGCTCGGTCGCTTTGATTTCACGGCGATAGTTCTGCAGTATCGGTGTTAGTCTCACTGTCGGTTGACATGTAGGAACTGATTAACTAGAGGGCGCGTTCTGTTGCGCATGTTTGGGGGATGCTCAAAAATATACGACGGCAATAACTCTGTCCCTGAGAAATGGAACAGGGGAAACAAACCTAAATCAAGGACGACAAGGGATGGAAATAAACCGGTCGGATATCCGGTAAAAAAACAGAAGGAGAAAGATGTGAACTTATGAGAGAAATGGAGCGATTCCGAGTAGAGAGAAGCAAAGAGAGAAGAGAAGAAGAACCCCGCGGTGAGAAAGAAGAGAGACTAGACTCGATCGAGTGCAAACGAGGGACAATCACCACCAACGATGGACCCATGCGGAGTTCCCCATAATTTCCAGCGCGACACTAAAAGCTGGAATTGTCCTCTTTTCGGTGGAGCCAGTCTTATTTTCTGACCATTCTGGGTCTAGCCGAACCGAGTTATCTTCCCGGCGAGTCTCCCAAATCAAAGTCCCGAATTTTTGATGCTCGATCTTTTCGGCGCCGATACTTTCTCGGACACTTGATTGATTGAGGGCATTACTCCCTCCGAATCATCCCACGCCATGGCTCGTCTACTGCAATCATTGCGTCGAGCCCTAGGCTTAACATCGTCCACTCCTGTCCCTCGCTATGCCCGTTCAATCGACACCAATTTCTCCGTCTTTCGGGGTATGTCACACCTTTATTCGACTGAACGCCGTTCGCTCGTTCACAGTTTGCGCGCCATCCCACACTAACAGATTAAATCCACCACTTAGAGGGAGATAGAGTTGTGGTCCATGGCAAGTCGCCGCTACTTAGCAAACCCTTGCGGAAGGGTCATAAATCCGACACTCGTCGCGGACAATTAGAGCACGACAACATCATCGGCCGGAGGGTACGGGATCTGGTGCAGGCGCGGAAAGGTCATTTATCTTCCTCATTCCAATATCAACTTAGCCGGGCGCATTCTAATAATCTCCATTGAATACAGGCCCTGAATACCGACTCTCCCTCCCTACGCTCGAAGAATATGTTGCCATGACCCCCCGTCTAGTCACGCCGGTACGAACCTAACTACACCGTCGTCAACGCGCACCACGGCCATCCCCAATTCCTCATTAACGCATGCCATTAGATCTACTCAGCAGACGCCAACCTCATCGTTTCCCTCCTCGACATCCACATCGCACCCCCAGCCGAAGGAACAGACACACCGCCCCTTGAAATTCTCGAATCCGGCACCGGCCACGGCTCCTTGACCTTACACCTAGCGCGCGCCATCCAAGGCGCCAACTCTACTCCTCCACCCCTCCCCCCCAGCTCGCAAGTCACATACCTACCTACCAAACCCGGCGAGGTCTCGACCCGCAAGTTACAGCCGCCCGCAGATGGCGCTTCGGAAACGACCGTGGATCCCGACCAGGAGAACTGGGACGCCTGGCGCTCCCATCGCAAAGCAATCATCCACAGCGTCGACGTGACGCCCAAATCCTCCGTCCACGCTGAAGGTATCGTCCGGGGTTTCCGTCGCGGCATCTACGCAGGCAATGTGGATTTCTACGCCGGGCACGTAGAGGACTGGATCGCAGAGCAGAAGAGACAACGCGCACCGACAGGCCTCCTTTCCTCGCTCAAGAAAAATGAAGTTGAGCCGTTCCTCTCCTACGCAATCCTGGATATGCCGTCCGCGCATCTACGGATTCCCCACGTCGCCTCGATCCTGAAGCGGGACGGCATTCTAGCTGTTTTCATGCCGAGCGTGACGCAGATCGGCGACTGTGTGGAGCTCATTCGTCGACAGAGACTACCTTTCGTCCAGGACAAGGTTGTCGAGCTCGGAAACGGGATCAGCAGTGGTCGGCTATGGGATATCCGGCACGCGTTGAAGAAGTCCCGGGATAATGTGTCGGTGGCTTCCTCCACCGAGGAGGGTTCCGGTTCAGAGGAGTCCGTCGAGACGGGTGCCGTTGAGACTGAGTCTGCAGATGTTGCTGAAGAGAAGACGCCCAAGGAGGAAGACAGTGTGCTAGTATGCCGGCCAAAGGTTGGCGCGCGGATTGTGGGTGGTGGTTTTGTTGGAATTTGGAGAAAGATAGAGGAGGATGCGCGGAGGAGCTAAGCTAAGCCGAGCTGAGCTTCATACGATTCCCCGTTTTATATGCCTACCTACCTGCAGTATTCTTGGATACCCATTTGTACCATAACATGCATCTCATAGAGGAAAGACCTACCTCATGTACTATTACTCAAGATTCAGTTACAAATACGATGAAATCATACACCACACTCCATAACAAAAAAGAGCATACACACATGCACTCACTGGAATACAATCTACGACTATAATGAATAGAAAGAGAAAACCCCCAGAAGTAAAAGAACTTAATAAGAGGACAATAACGAAACAAATAAGAACAGGCTTATTCAAATATACTAATAGCAAACGCACTACCCCAATTCCCGATTCCCCATACTAAACAACAACAAATGTCAAATCAACCACCCACTCTCCCTTTCTACATCAAAGAAGGTAAAAGAGAAAGATCAACGACCAACAAGCTCAGCTATAAAACGTCAAGCGATTTCCAAACCAAAGAAGCCCAAACCAACAGGCACATACGTGAAAGAAGACCGCCGACCAACCAGTAGTAGAAGTAGTAGTCGCCTAAGGATACAACGAGCACATACACACACACAGAGGTACAGATGAGAACCGATTCGCCCGCCTAAGTGCAAAATATTGAGATGAGATGAAGAAAGGTTAAGAAAGAGGAGAGAGAATCCGTTCGTGAGATTCAATCTACAACAAATGGAGAAAAGCATGTTGGAAAGTGAAGAGATAAAAGTATCGTCGTTAAGAAGAAGAAAAGGCATAATCAGATCCTAACACATACCAAAGCTGGGAGGAGGAACGACGTAGTAGTAGAAAGAGAGCGTGAGAGAGTGTGAGTGTGTGTTGCGTGAGATAAAGCAAAGCTGCTGCGCCGATGTGACTGACTACTTTCCAAAGATGATGCATGGATACGCAGAGTTCCATTTGAACGAGAGTCCGCTGGGCGACAGCAGTAAGCAGGAAGTAAACTCACAAGAATGGAAGGAAGAAAAGAAAAAAAGAAACAAAATGCAACAAGAGCATGATAGCGTGAGAAGAAAGAAAAGAAGTAAAAAGAGTTAACACCACAGACACGCGAAAGGCCCCCAAAGATTCCGAGATAACAAGATGAACCGGCTACACAAACACCAGTCTCGTAAGATTCAACATGCACCGTCCCTTCAATTCCGTTGCGGTCCAAAATCCGCTTCCACAACCTTTCCCTTTTTCCCTTTAACTGTAAACTCCGCAAATAATGCGACATGATCACTTGGAAAATGAAAATTGGGGAAACCGGGCACCTTCTGCAGATAGTCCTTGTCCACCTCCCCAAGTAACGCCGAGACATGAAGTGTGTTGGAAGTATACCAAATATAGTCAAGAATATCCTTGAAGTCCGGAGTATAGTTCGTGAAGCTCAGCTCGCCAATCGAGTTGTACGCCGACTTAAGCTTGAACGGGTGCGTCATACCGACCCGACTAAGGTTGCCGTAGAGCCTCTTCTCCAGGTCCGGATGGGACTCCGTGAGCCGGCCATGTGCGACCAAGTTGTACGCTGCCGACCCAGGCGCCGAGTTGAAATCACCGCACATGAAGAGCGGGATCTGATCACCACTGGCATACTCCACAGACGGCGCAGGTTCAGGTGGAGGAGTATCCGATTCACCTTCTGCTTCCGAGAAGCGGAACGCAGTCTTGTCGGTACACGGTGGGAATTTCGCGTACTTCTCGGAGAGCTTAGTGATCTCCTCCATCAAGATGGCGGTCTGAATCAACTTCACGTCCTTGAAAGCAGGATCCCAGTAGAGATGCGCGTTCACAACGATGAAGCGGGAGCCTGTCAGTCGGTTCTCTAGGAAGATGACAACCGCAATGTGATCCTTCTGCCAGAGTCTGTTGTAGATGTCATCTTGACCCTTGGCATCCGGTCGCCGCACTGCTGTTTGACCGAAGTTGATCATCTGCTTATCGAGAAGGATGAACTTGCTTCCCTTGAAGAAGGTGGCACAGCCATCGACCGACTTCGCTTCCTCCTCTTGCATACCCATAGCTCTACCTCTAGGCCAGTATACACCCTTGTAATCGTTATAAGCCAGCTGCTCCCGGAAAAATCCATTGTAACTGCCTTGATCGATTTCCTGCAGACAGATAATGTCCGAGTCGTGTGACCTCAGCTCGCTCAGGATAAGCTCGCGTCTGAATTCCCAAGAAAGAACACGGGACGGGGTATAACCGAAGTGACTCGGGGTTGCGGAAGAGTCGCAGAGGGCGTTGTGGGAAAGGACGGTAATTTTCTCGATAGAACTGTTGGAGGAGCTAGCGGTCTCATCCAGGATAATCCAATCTCTATCCGGGGGCGGAAGATGCACTTTTTGAAAACGAAGTTAGTATGAGGTGCATGGTGAGAGCTTTTGAGTCGTGAGCACATACCTGGCATTTCTTCCCTCAGATACCGGACTAGGGCCTTAGTTCCTTCCTTGATGATCTGAGACTTCAAGATATCATTCAAAGGGTTCCCTTCAATTCCCAACATCTCTAATCTATAAAGATAACCCATCTCGAACGGAAGCGTGCGAATATTGTTATCGAACAGGAGGAGCTGCTTCAAGCTTGTGAGCATACCGATCTCTTCGGGGAGCTCCGAAATATCATTGCTCGACAGATCCAAGTGGGTGAGCTTCCGCAATTGGCCAATCGCCGGAGGGAGCGTCTTCAACTTGTTGTGATTGAGGTACAATTTCTCGAGGAAAGTATAGTGGAACAAAGATGTCGCAAGCGCGCGGAGACCCTGTCCGCCGAAATCAAGAGCATGCCAGCCTTGCCGAGGAGCAGGCTTGGACTTCACCATGCCATTGCGATCGCCGCTCCCATTCTCTTGTTGCTCAGGCTGACTGGGCGCAATCTGGATACCCTTGGTTTGCTGTGCGACGGTGCGGGCGTAATAATGCGGGGAGCTTGCCTGCCGTGACTCCGCAGCCAACTGAAGTTGCTGCTGCCAATGTTCGTTCATGGTCTCGTCAATATCTTCGTCCACGTTAACATGAGCGCCATTCTGGAGGGGGCCGGGAGTGAAGTGCGGAGTGGCGGCAGCCAATGCCCCACTGGAGAAGTTGTGCTGGTGATTGATGCTATGAGAAGCTTGGTTGTGATGGGCATGGTGATGGGCCTGCTGTGCGGGGTGGGGGTGATGGCTCTGCGATTGGAACTTGGGGATCTGCATGCCAAATCGCTGGTGGGCCTGGCCGCCATTCATCATGACATGCTGCCCTTGGTGGGTTTGTGTATACATCGTAAAAGGATTCAAGGCAGCAGCTTGGTTGATCGGAGGTGAACGTGAGGGAGAAGGAGTGTCGTGACTAAATTTTAGTCTTCCAGTGGGGGAGTTTGTCCCGTTGCGTACGAGATGACGTTGGTGAGAGTGCTGTTGCGGTTGTGTTTGGAAGAAGAACTGCCCGGCCCCAGGCTGCTGGAACCTGTAGGTACCATCTGCCATTTAACGTGGCAGACGAGACCGTAGGTCGATCGGTTGAATGTTCCTAGGGTAGGTTGAGGCTGGCAGGGTTGGGTTCGGGGAGGCGGCGGTGGCAGGAGAGAGAGGAGTCGGGGATCGGATGCGTTCTCTCCTTCTCTTCAACATGGGGTCCTGAAGCGGAACCACCCCAATCTAAGGATAGGCTGGAGTCACAACCGCAGCAATTTCGCCAATGCTGGTTGCACACGGTTTCGAGATGCAGTCCTGGGGAGGTCGAGATCGGGAAAGCGATCGAGGGTTGAACGATACGGCGGGCGTCGGGCGACCGAGACACAAGAGGACGGACGACGAAAGTCTGTTGAGAATCCTGGGAAAAAGGTCAGGTTGGACTCTCAGAGACAAGCTCGCTGGAGGAGAGTGAACAATGCGCACTTGAAAATAGGTCTGAAGACGTAGCAAAGGCGCCGGCAGCTTGTTGGGATGAGACACAGTCGCCTTGACGCTGCGAAGTGGTTTGCATCGAAGGCGGGAGGTCGCCGGTGTCACGTGATGTCACATCCGGCGGGCCTGATTCGCCGCCAATGGCAAAGCCAAGACCAAGACCAGCCTTGACAAGCACACCTCCAGACTTAGGTCTTCTTCCCTGAACAAGGATATCTCCCTAACGAGCAGAGGATGCCTTGGAAGTCAATATCCGACGTTTCTACAGGTTATCAATCCTTGACTCACCAAGTGAGCATCGCTACCCTATTAACCTCCCCCAGGAGAACGGCAACCGGACAAGATCTCAGCATCGGTCCTTCACGGCCCCATATTCCCAATTATTGAGGGGACTAGGCGATCCGCGGGGGTCACTGCACAAGTAAGGAGGTCCCTCAGCAGTCAACAGCCCACACGCATTCAGAAGTATCGAAGATATGCTACATCTTACTTTTTGCATGAAGCATATCCGACTAAGACAGCGTCTACATTTTTCTTCAAAATCACAATTGTCACTACTATATCACCCTACAATGACTTCCACAGGCCATGAAGGAACTTGCCTCACTATCTTATCTATATTAAACTGGCCATATCGCCTGTGCCAACACGCTCCCGTGACCCTATGACGGAGCCCATATCAAGACCACACATTCCTTGCACTGACACCACAGTGGCTCACTCGCTCGGTTGCTTCCGATAGGCAATGCAAGAAATATTTAGGAGGGCTATATGTTACTATTATGCTATATAGCACCCCTTTATTGCTTTCGGTCACTGACCACTTGGCACTATCTAACTAATCGAGCAAGGTCCCAACTAACTCTGGACACATTTCAGCTAATTGTTGGGTGAGCGCAAAAGGGGCCCATGTTTCCAGAACGGTCTGAAGCGTTCTTCTCAGTTCTTTGTAAACCCGAACCCCCTGGTAGACGAGCATCCATCCCCTTGCAACCCAAAATGATGCCAAATCCATGTGTCTCACGTGAAAAATACGAGGTCGTGGGATACTTAAGGTGTCTTGGTAGGTAATGATCCTCGTATAAGCCCCCAGCCAAGCAGTGTCTCAGCAACCCCAGGACGTGCTCTGAGCATTATTCATTTAGACTACCTAAAAAATCCAAATGTTGCCTAATTTCTGCGAATAAACGCTCATCGTCGAAAAACGGGTAGATATGTGTCACTGGAAGTAAAATTCATACACAAATTGCCACTTGTACATTTTGTACCCCATATGTAGTACCAGTCATCAAGGCCACAGCAAACCCCCTTTCTGGGGACAAAGCAGGATTTCCAAGTGAACTCAAAAAATAATATACCGCATTCAAACTGCGACCAGCTTCGACTGTTATGCAGCAAGCCCTGTCTGTCAAGAATAATGACAAGCAGTAACCGTTAGCAAACAAAACCTTCTCCTTGCTGTGGAACCCCAGGTGCAGCAGGAATGCATAGAAACATGCCAGCCACACATACACCTGCCACATACCTGCACGCCGGACTCGTTCTCCGAGGCCAATGAATGCCTATGGCATCTATTTGCGACAGATGATGAAATACTCATCCCTTGCAATGTTTCAGTTGGTTCCGAATCTCCGACATGTAATGCCCTTGAGGATAATAATTGATGATAGTACTCCTCACTCACCATAAGTATTAAGCGCTCAAGCATCAGTTACATTTGTTAACTAAGTAGTTAGTAAGATTTTGAGGATTAATCAATCCATTCATCATTGCTTGGCCTCCGTATGCCAAGGACTAAACTTTACATTTTCACTCAGTACTCCATGATTCTTCTATTAAGTTTGCTCAAAGCAAAGCAGCTTGGCTTGCGATCAACGTAAGCTCGGGAGATCATGGTGACTAGTATCCATGGAGGGTATGGCACTGACCTGAGATACATATGTAGTAGTCTCGTTTAGCCTAGTATACTCACTAGTGAAATCGTGTTCAAGTTTATCTACTATTAGTGTAGTTGCACTGCTATTCTAGCTAACCTCATATCGTCACCCTTCGTCATGGAATTCATGTGAAAGTTTCATAAAAGTAGCAGTCCACAGGCGCCTGGATGACATTTTTAATTAATCAGTAGAACTGATTTGCTTACGAAGGGATCACTATGTAGTTAGGGTAAGTAGGGTGATTGTAATATAACCAAGTCGCTGGGTAACTATGTCCGAACTATAAGTGCAGTGTGTGAAACAGCATGCACGAGGATGTAAATGTTACACATTAGGCTTTCCGGCAGTAGTACAGCAGTCTGTACGAATACTGAAGCATGTGTACAACTCAAGGCAGCAGGGAACAGACTTCAAGAGATCTAATCACATCATTCAATGCTGACAGCTGTAGGGAGTTTACTACGGTAGTTTCCACCCCCACCAGCATTCCAAAACCAGCTCATTATCAGAAACCTCCGACTGGCGGAATAAGAACCGATGTTACAGATTCTGACACCTTAGTAGTTGCAAAATATGACAATCCATAAGCTGACAGCATCACCACGACGACTTGAAAAGAAACCTGTAACAGTCCATCGACAAAAGGGGAAAGAGAAAAGGGGGGACAGGGAGGGGGGGTGGAGGAGAAGAGATTGGCGCCTAGAAAGAAGAAAACCACCAGAAGGACTACCGAAAAAGCCCAGACAGACCTGAGCTCGGAAAGAATGCCTAAGTAGTCAATTACTTAGTGAGAATAATGGATAGTGGTGAAAAGAGCAAATCCCTGACAGGGCAACAAGTGACCCGTGCAAGCACGTGTCTTTTCAGGTTGAAAAGTGGCCCCGGCATGCATAATCATCCTGGGTGGCCGGCGGAGCGTTGCGGCCGCCGTGGGCCAAAATCCAACCAACAACAATTGGATTATTATTTGTTTTCTCCATTGTAACTAAACAGTAAGTACTAGTAGTGGTTACTAAATAATTATCTGTCCTTGGGCTTCGGGTTGGTGGTTCATGTATGTATATTCTCCCCTTCAAATGTCTGTCAGGTGGAAAAAGAAAGGATTATTCCAGCCAACAGATACTTGCTTGGTCGGGGGAATTGATCCTGGTAGGATGGAACAGGATCTGGCCTTCGTTAACAAATTTGTTACGATGCACTTTACCCGTTTGTTATTCTTCTTCCGAGATCCATCGAATTAGAGTAGTTAGGGTTGGTCAGGATGGAAAATCAACGAGTTGAGTGGTCGCGTCGGCAGCGCCATCGTTACTACAAATCACTGCTAGGATTCTTCAGTCCCACACGGCTACCCATATTTGTTCGTTAATATTGTTAAAATTATCAAGTCGCTAACGCCAAAACAATCATGATGTCAAAGAGTCAGTCGCTAATAGCCTAAGAGGAAGCCTGAGACTAGGCTAGACGGGTCCTAGAATCTTTCCGTCTCCCTAAAGGGGGCAAAAAAAACAAAAATAAGAAAAAGGTAGTTATAACTATTTCTTTTTGATTAATAATTCGATATGTTAATATCTGATTTGACTTTTCTTGATCAACAACTGCTTCCTTCTCCGCCCCTTAGTCTAACGGACGGATTCCGTCAGAAAGGCAATTTTTCTGCCTTGTGTCATCAGGAGACTTGAGGTGACCCATCTAGGAAGCTCAGCAAGTCAGCAGCATCTGCCGCGGTTCTTCCAGTTCCGTGGGATGTCGGCATGTCCGGGCAGGGCTCTATGTGGGCTGGCCTGTGGATTCGGGCGTCAGAACTTGAGTGGGTGACCCGTGAACTTGGGTAAGGGATGAAGCAGGGTACTTCGCAGTGGACGTGCCCAGTTTCATCATTACTCCGGCTATCGTTATCAGTCCTTCTTTTTTGTTAGCAGCTCAGTCGGCCAGATTTGGTTTCACAACAAGAACCACGGATGGCATTTCCTCCGCTGTAACCTTGATTCTTGTTTGGACCATTGAACTTATTCAGTTCCAGACAAGGGGCCCAGTTTTGGGCGGTTCACAGATAGCCGAGACCACTCGAAACGGATCTGGAATACGGATTCAGCTCACCTTCACCCGGTAGCCTCTGCGCATGTACGGATTCTGATTCTGCATAAGAGAGATCAGATGGCACCGGGCGGAACAGTGAACGCAAATAATCGAACCAATAACCCGTAGCTCGGGCTGTTGATCTTGGATGCAGCTGCAGGAGAAAACAACAGTCATTGGTATCAGATCAGTAGGGCTTATGCGGGCGGGTTGGTTAGTATTTGTGTTTGGTTTGAGGAGGAGCATACTTGTAGTGGTGGTGGGAGCTTTTCCGCCACCACCAAGCGGGCGCATTCGTTCAGCTCCATCGTCCGGGGCCTTTCGGCAGATACCTTTTGTACCGGGCGCCGACTTTGAGTAGTGAAAAATCATACTAGAAAAGTAAATAAAAGTGACAGATTAAGTTATGTATAGTATCTATGGAGCGAATCCACCCAAAACGAGGATGTGAAATCGCTCAGTTCGGGGAGGTCGCCGTCCGGAATCCCGCCAGAAGATTAGTGGCAGAAAGTAGTAAAGGCAGTCGCAGTCATAGTGGAGTGGCCCTAAGGGGGGTTCATTTAATCGAGCCGGTGCGATTTCGTTTTCGGTCACGATGTGGTTTTTGCCCCCCTCCATCGTCCTCTCCCTCTCTCCTCATTATTATTCCTCATTCCTCCTCCTCCTCCTCCTCTTCTTCTCCCCGTTCTCGCTTCCCATGAGTCGAGGCCGCCTGGAACTGTATCCCGACTGCCTCACTTTCGCTTCCCTCCTCTCCCCGCCCCCTCCGACTAGCGTTTGTTTCACTTCGCCTCCCACGCTCTTTCCCTTCCCCATTACATTACCATGTCCATATTAATCGCGTCTCTGCCCCGTCCGTGATCGATCTGCGTCGCCATTGTCGTATGCAAGCATGCAAATCGTTGTTGCTAGCTGTACCAGATCGATGACAACCCAATCTTCGCTGCCAAAATGGATATGATGTCAAACGGGCCTGCGACTTTTGCGCCTGCCGCAACTTCAGGCTCCGATCTCCATTCGACTACCAGTTCGACCGGCCCAACCCTCGCTGCGACATCCACCTCTTCTTTAACCTCCGTCAATGACTACTCCAACTTTCCCCTGATCCGCCAGGGCGATCGCACATATCTTAGAGACCCCGAAAATAACTACCCTCTCCCCTGCGATCTTCAGGAGATCCATCGTCAGACCCTGCGCTCGCTCATGCTCATGCGCGTGTTCGGGGGTCCATTTTGCAACCCCCACCTCGCCGACCGATCCCCAAAGCGGGTTTTGGAAATCGCATGTGGTTCAGGCCTCTGGTCCAGTATGAGCCATGAATATTTCACTCGACGCGGCCACCGCAACGTATCTTTCCACGGTATCGACATCGTCTCCGTCGCCCCCGATCTGCGCAAGAAAGGTGTCCACTGGCAATTTCGAAGGCACGACCTTCGGAAGCCCCGCCTGCCTTTCCCCGACGACTATTTCGACTTTGTCTTCATTAAGGACGCAGGAATGTGTCCAGCTAGTCCGGCGCTGCAAGCATCTGGGTTAAGCGAGCCACTGAGGGTGCTCAAATCCGGCGGAATTCTGGAAATCTGGGACTCTGACTGGGTCTTTCGATCCTTGCTTCCCAATCCCGCACCCGCTCGCAAATTGGCGTCAAGGGAACAAGAGACGGCCGATGCGACTGCGACTTACACCTTTTCTTCCGCAACTCCGTTCACACGAGTTCAGAACAAGTTCCTCCAGGACTATAACTCTTGGGTCGAAAAGGCCTTTGACCGACGCAAATTGACAGCCTTGCCGTGTGCGACAATTGGTTTGTCTTTCAACTCAGAAGTCGATGTACTAGAGAACGTTGATAGTCGCCGCATCGCTATCCCGCTAGGCGAACTACGGTGGGAACGTGAAGGTCATGGGAAGGATCCGGTCGGCGCGTCACGCAGACAGTTGACCGCAGATCAATTGTCCATCCGGCGCACGGCCCTTTTGACCGTAGTCCAGATGATTGAGGGCATGGAGCATATCCTCATGGAAGCTAGCGGTAAGACCAGAGATGAATGGGACAGGTGGTGGGCTGCCATGATTGCCGATCTGTTCCAGAAGGGAAGCCTCGCGAATGGGGAGTGCTTGGAAGTAAGCGCTTGGTGGGGACGAAAGAAATGAACCGTCTTTCAGTAAAGAGGATACAAGCTCAATTGCCGATATTCTGGCGAACGCGGGAAAGAAAAAAAAAAAAAGAAAGACACGGAAAGCGTCGTGACCATTGGTCTCTCTCATATTGGTGATACCCCACTTTTTCTCCTTACAGTTTTCGCATATATATATTCCTTGGTGTAATATTCTTGAGAACGTGTTAACAAGGCTCCATGGTATTTTGAACGGCCGGGATCATTTAATTTTCATAGCGCTGTTTCAAGGTGCGATATCGCTTCAGATAGTACCTGGGCGCTTTTGGTCAGCATTGGTGCTGACATTGTCGAGCCTGATTTATCTCGATAATTATGAGACGATGAGGATTCGGATGGACATGGTTGATAGGCAGAATTAATTATAGATGAACTAGTATCAAGCCTTGCGGGCCTGGGCCTTGGACTTTCACATGCTTCACCGTTTGTAGATAAGGAATTGCAGGCAGTCTGGCGCCGACGTGATTCCGGTAAGGGAGGGGCACAAGGTATTGGAACTCACAAGGCTTCGATTTCTGTAGAATAGAACCAATGATCAGCTCAGTTTCAATATCCTGGCAAACAATAGAAAGATTTGTTAAACGTACCCTTCTTGACAAATTCCGCCCTAGCAATACCTTTTCGGATCTGTTCCTCATTATCCAGATGCGCTTGGCTGGAAAACGCTTTATGTAACCTGTTCCGATAATATTCGTAGCCTAGGGGATAATTGCGACCAAGGAAGAGCAGCTCTATCGATGGCGTGGAGTCAGCTTGCTGGCTGCGAGACATTCGATACTGAGAAGAAATGACTGGAAGATGGGTCAAGTCGGGGTGATGCACATACCCTTGTATATATGTATGACCTGCGCGCGAAGTTCTGGATTCGTCATATTGGATGGTGTTGCCAGTCGATGGAATAGGGGGCCAGGACTCGCCGAAGGAGATGGGAATGTGGAGGAGGAAGACGTTGTTTGTCTCTCAGCTCTAGGAAGAAGTTAGCCGGAACACAACTAACTACCGGTGACGTCGCATGGGCGGAATCCTTACTTGTTGCCTCGGAGGGGTAACCATCCAGTAAGCACTAATTATACTGGCTATTGTATAGGCCGGTAATTTATGATGATAGGATTAGACAAATGGCTTTCTTTAAATGAACGTTGAAGTGACAATGTATCTTTCGAAACCTTGGTGCTTATTAGTATTTGATGATTGTAATGGGTGGAGATATATCCGAGTGTCTTCGGTTCCCCGAGAAATGTTTTGAATTATGACGTTAAATTTGCGCAGTGTCTGGTACAATACATCTTCATCGACTGCACTGGTTAGTTATGCTGGTTAATAGGAGGATGCATGAAATACTGAAGCATATCTATACAATTTTGAACACATAGGTTGCTGAGCGATCATCTTGGAGATTCTTCAAATGTATATATTCTAGTTATAAGCCTCAATCAATCCATGCCCGAAGCTGAAACAACTACTAGTAGCATGATGGTAATCAGTAACGCCTGAATATTGTAAATACTAAGCATTGTATACAGACCATCACAAATCAAGTATCGGATCTCACCATAGGGCTTATTGTAGAAAGCAAGTATGGGGGTACTAACAAGCAAGCACCGGCCATGTCAGCTTGCGGAGAGAGGGAAACAATGCGCGGGGCTAGCCGAAGCTCCAACCGCCCGGACAACTAGCCGAAGTGAGAGAAGCTCCTCGGCTGGAAACAGCGACATTCTGACAATTGACCATAACTAGCTTCACTTATTCCCAAATTATAATAATGTCGCTTCAAAGATTCGGAAGGCGACCCCTGGCTGGATTCGCCGCTCAATCTTCATCACTTACCACCCGACTCTTCTCTGTCTCGACCGCATTCCGAAATGCCTCCGTTTCCGCCCCCGGAACAACGCCAAAGAAGCCTCACACCATTGATCCACGATGGCTGACCATGACCAAGCGAAGAATTGGCAGATGCATGATGTTCGGCTTAAAGCCCCCGCAGATTCAAGCAGCCGGGGAGATCCTACAGCAGATTGCAAGGGATTGGCGAGAATTGATCGCTGGCAGCGAAGGCTATTTGACAGATGAGACACGAAGGGGGCTATTTCAACAGAGCGTTGCGTGGGGAGAGATGGTATGATATATAGTCACCTGGTGCATGGCAGCTTACATATGGCATGATGCATAGATGCTAATGTAGGCGCTTGCATTGGACAGGACAGCATGGTAAGCCAGGAACTTCTTTCAAGCAACAAGTGATGTCGACTAATTCGTGAGTCTAGGGTGTGTATATTTCTTTCTAAAGCAACATTGGTTCAGTGGATTACAGCAAGGGGTCTAACATCATGAGCGACTGATTAGGACATGTGAACAACGTTACATACCCCCGATATGCAGAGACGGCGCGCGTGTACTATACCCGCAACTTTGCCATGCATATAGACCCGGCCCATAAGACAGAGTGGATGAATCTTGTCAGCTCAAAGGGCATCGGACTCATTCTTCGAAGCATCAAGATTGACTACAAATTTGTACGGTCTTCTCAGCTGAGATATAGAACTGATCGCTAATACTTCGTCTCTCTTTGCAGCCCATGACCTACCCTGATAAAGTTACGGTATATCATAAGCTGGTTCACGATCCGACATCCCCTGATGCACCTCGTCATGGGTTCTATCTCCATGCGATGATAGTCTCCGAGGCTCGCCAACGGCCCGCTGCCCGCGTTTCCGAGGACCTGGTCATTTATGACTACAAGGCAATCAAAAAGGCGGAGCTTCCACCGTTTATCATGGAACAGTTCAAATCCACCTGGGATCTTCAAGAGAAAGCTAAGAGATACTGGCAGGAGCGCATCCTTGATATAGAAACGAGGGTCCGCACATTGGAAACAGAGAGCTGGGACCGGGAAGATGCGGTCGAGGATACCGGATCTGCGAAGCAGTGATGTAGCAGGCTGACTTCCCGCTTTCGGGCAACTTTGCAGACCGACAGATCTAAGATCGACAATGTACATAGTAAATGAGGAGGATCGAGCGTAGGGCACTGGCATAGATTCTGCTACCAAGCGCGTACTGTAAGCACAGGGGTGCGGTAACGTATGGAAGCTTACTGGTAATATATCTATCTACACGGCATACAGTATGCGTATTGATACTAGCTGTATTCCATCACTTCAAGTCTTCCTGGGCGACATAAACGTTCATGAGAAGGCTCATCATGGCATCTTGAACTTAATCTTCTTTTTGAGACCTCTTCATCACCTCCCATCTCACCCCATAATGGCATTTGGTCTTTCAGACATACTTTGGAGTGGAGTCAGATCAACGATGGCCATTGGCTGTTCGAGGAGAAGACTACAACAATCAAGGACGAAACATAATGCAAGTATTTTCAGGTCATTCAGAGCTCAAATTTCTTACTGTCTTCATAAGTTCGCTGACCATAGACTGCTACAAGCTTCCCACCAATTGCGTCCTCCAGCCTCATCGGTTTCTGGGCTGGTTCAAGGCAATGCCATTATTTTACCATCTTACACCACTTATTGATGGTACCTTATTTCTCAGAACAAGTGGGCGAGACAGAAGAACAATTTTGAGATGTCTAAGTTTCACATGTCTCCCATAAAGCGATGGAGCTCGGCGACACCATGGCCATCCGGCTTGGTCTAAGACATGAGTTGCAACCCTTGAAGAAATAATACTAATGCTAAATCTAAACATGCTGCTGTTCTCTTTCCTGGAGAAGATCTCTGCCCATAAGTCTCTTGACTCGTGCGTTGGCCTTCCTACATCTACCTCCATCAACCATCAGGAAAACACCAGCGCAACCTACATTGACTGCACGAAAGCTTCTGCATCCGTCTGCAAACACTTCATCCTGAAATTCTCCGTGGAGGTGTAGCGTCGATGTTGTGTAAATCGGTAAGTCAATTGAAGAGCCCGGTTGACTCGGCTCGGTTGTCGGCAGCTGATAACTACTTACCTCTTGAGGCCGAAGCTCAGGTCCACAACCGCCATGTGATGCTTGGCCTAGCTCTCGTTACTATGGAACTGATACTCAGGCATAATGCGTGGCTGCTTCAACTTCTCAGGCTACAGGTATACAGATGGGTTGATAGCTACGCTGGCCAGTCATATAGAGATGTTTCACACATAGTTTGTGCAGTAACACAGGATCATGGTTGCCGTGGAATCCAATTGCAACTTGTTGGTTCGTCACGGCTTGACCCGCTTCATTTGCGCCACAGAGTCTCTTCTAGACCCTCCCGCCTAGTGCCTCTGATCGGAAGCTTTGCCGGATCGGTATCAGTTCCAGTGTCCCAGTTAATTGCTTGGTTTTCCAAGCTTTGACGCCGGTCTTGGGTTATGAGGCTCACCACAGGCAAAATCGTTTACCTACGAAAGACAGCAGGGTAAGTACATCTGGTCTCGCACTGTAATACTACTAGCATCAAGGGTCCAATACCCTGTGTTACAGCCACAACGACACGACAAATGGACGGGATATCCCTGGTAATCATCTGACAAGGCTTGCGGGGCTCGACCGGCAAACCCTTCAATTTAGTCAACGCGTCTGTCCACTTCAGGGTAGAAACGGTCGATCATCCATCCGATTCCAAGGCTAGTCGATCTCTGTCCGTGAAAACGGCAATCAAGTCAGGATACTTGCCTATCGAGCTGCAGCCAGTCCGATATCCGGCGTATGACGAACATTCCAATTAGCCTGTGATTCTAGGCAAATTGCCTGAGCAGCGACAATTAAAGTATCAATCGCTCCTACGGGGCAGATCAAGCGAGAAAAGTGATGATTTTGCTAGTGTGGAGATGTTTCGGTGAAATACCGCTGTTTGGTATGATACAGTATTTCCTATATATAGCTGGGCAACAGCTGGGTATTGAAGCTTATCTAATCTCACACCTACTGCCTTACTGTACCACAAGATGTCGTCGTCGTCAGTCTTCGACAATGTTCCGATGGAGACGGGCTATCCCCCAGATTGTCGGTGTCAGCTTGCTTTTTTTCTTCGGGTCCCGTGAATTGCAATTTTGATTCTTTTAATCTCCATTAAGCAGGGAACCAATGGCATGATAATGGTCTCCTTACAGGGTGCTGTTTCGGACTTGGCACGTATAAGCATTACGAGCATCATTTATCGGCTGTACAACCTCCCGCGCAAGTGTCAACTGACAAGTCCAACGGGGCCCCCAAATGACTAGAGAGCTGGGCAGGATATGCTTATCTTGACTTGCAAGTCACGAGCTAGACGACATATGGGCTTCTTCGTCTGCCCGTTTTGAATTCTACGCAATCCAGCTGATAGAGAGATAACCAACCAGGTTTATGCAATATGGACGGCACATATGACTGCCCACGGCTTGGTAGCTGCCAATGAGTTGGTGATGGTGTTGACCATGGTGAGTTTTCACAGCTCTGCCCAGGGAATTGCCTACGCGAACAACCAAAAAGCTATCCCGTGAAGGATGGGATCGCCAGATCGTCCTGTCTAGTTTGGGCCCTAAAGTCCTGGATTACCCGATAAAGCACGACCCCGGGTCTTGTCAGTGGTTAGCGGGTAAGACGTGATATGTAGGGTGACTGCGTGAGAAGGAGGGGTAAACGGACATTAACTGGCGCTGATTTCTGCGAGCCTATGAATGATGGCTGCAATAGGAGGGTAAGGTCAGAATGAACACGTAGTCCAACCCCGGCTTACGAGGCCGGCGTTCAGCAACCATCAGTCCATAAGTGCTTTAGACCGGGAAGCTTAAGGTCTGGTTGTTGCTAGGTGACGGGAGTAATACAGCTAGCCTACATGCGCAGATTGGTTGACATAGTTTTCTCTATTGATCTGTTGGGAAAGTCAAGTGAACATTTGCTTTTGTTTGCTTATGGACATGTCAAGGGAAAGAACAGCACTGACTAGCTGAAGGCGGGCGTAAGTTGCCTTGCGTTGACAGGAGGCTTGGATCCCAGCAGCCTGCGTAGAGCCGTCAAAGAAAGAAAAACTAGCTGTTCGAAGCAACTAGTGGCTGAGATTAGCCCCCATATCAATGCCTCGAGCCGGTGCCGGTACTAGGAAGCAAGCTTACTCTTGAATGATGTGGCTGAAGAGCCAGGTGTCAATTCATGCCCGTAATAGTCTCTGTTTTGTGGACACGGTTGTTTGAAGATCCAAGCAACTTCAACCTTCACCAGGATAAGAGGTCCCATTGGTCTCTTTAGCATCCACGATCTCCGTGGCTGGTCTCAACCTCCAGATCGCCCCAAAAATCGGTCGAGGGAAAGGGAATCTGGATAGCCAACCAGCCAACCGGAAGACAGCGCAGTGAGGGTAACGTCATGTAATGTATAATAAATGTCAGTAAGAAACCTCCTGTATCTGACAAAGTATGTATGGTACCGTGACAGGGAAGGGTATTATATTTAATGCCTAAGGCACCAACCACCGGATTGGCTGGAGGTTGGCCGCCTTGCTGCCTTAGCGGGATTCCCTCTCGACGATCCGTTTCCAACCTTTCGTCGTTTCGTCTTTTTCCCGCCTCGTCTATCCAGACCCAAAAGTCTACCAAACCTCATTCATTTTTCCCTTCTCTTTCCTCCCACCTTCTCCCCCGCCACCCTCTCTTACTCACCCTCTTCCATATCCAATCCGATTCACTCTGACTTTCCTTTTCTTAACCTAGTCCTTACCTCTACCGATTCTCTATCCCCTCTTGTCATTCCTTTTCCCGTTCGCTTCCTGGGTGCTACCTCCCCTCCCTTTCCTTTCCCACTCTCATCACCCCTTCTTCTCCCCTCTCCCACCCCCAACTCTTCTACTTCCCCGACGCTGTCTCCGTCCTCAATTCTCGCCTGGTCCAAGTCCTTGGCTCCTTCCTGCCAAGCTGACTCGGACCTGGGTGTTAGGCTCCCTCGTCCATGCCACGTTCATCGGCCACGGCTAGGAAGAGTCATAGCAATCGGCATGAGAATGGTCTCGTCGGTCCCGGAAAGAAAGTGAACAAGCAAAAATCCAATGGAAATCTGAATGGGAACACCAACGGCGCCTCTGCCCCGAACTCTGGTCCCTCCACTCAAGTCGACTGGCCCGCATCTCGCTCTTCCAGCGATTCGGCCATAACCTCATCGGCAACCACGGCAAGCAAGGTCAACGGCTCGGCGGACACCTCGAAGGCGGATGGCAACGGGCGCGGCTTGCTAAACGGGTATGCTAAGGGTAACGCGGACATGTCTTATGGCCAGACGAATGGCGCCGTGCCCCAGAATGGCGGACTTGCCGGACAGGCGTCGCGGCGAACGGAGAAGCCGGCGACCGGTTCCAAGAAGTCGGGCTCTATCAATCCACTCCAGCTCGCGTCGACGATCCTCAAGTCCTGCCCGATGTACGACACGATCGCCATTCTGATCTTTCTTTTGCAGCTGCCGCCTATGGTTCTCACTCTGGTTCAGTTCCTCTTTGCTTCCCTGACCTTCATGCCTCCTAGCGGTGCAGCGTCTGGCTCCTTGACCTCCAACTTCGACATCTTTCAGGGCCCCGCCGGAACGCCTTCTCTTGGCACAATGATCGCCATGGATGGATTCTGCTTACTCTTCTGGGGCCTTTTCATGTGGACATGGGCGCAGAACTTTGCGCTCGATTTAGCTCATGTTCAAGTTGCCATTACGCTGGGTGGAGGAGGTTCGGGGAAGAATGGAGGGGTCAATGCTCTCTGCGTTGGCATTGTTCTCGTATTACATCTTATCCGCAGTAAAGGTATACAGGATTTTGTTATAGGTCATCTGCTCTCCGCCAAAATCGTCTCGCCTGATTTCTTATCGCAATATTCACATCTCATGCCCCCCGAGTTTCGTCGCACGGAACCGCAAAGCTCCCCAAGTTGGATGCGCAGTCTCCTCGCCGTTCACATCTTGGCTCAAGCCGGCACCGCCATGGCAAGAAGATCGATGGCGAAAAACCGGTCACCGGCTCCCCCTCGCAACGGCAAGCGCGTTGATACCGAAGCCTCTGCCGGGTCGCAGACACAAATCGATTCTGCGTTCGAGTCCGGGGCTAGCGTATCTTCCTACATCGGTGCCGATGGTCAACTCGTTACGCCGGCCACTCATAAGGATGGCAGAGATAGACTCATGTCGGCAAAGAAACGCAGAAGGCAAGCCAATCAGGTCCGGAGCCGTCAACCGTTCTGGGCTGCACTCGCAAGCACGAAGGTGACGGTGATGAGGGAGTATGAGCATTCTAGGGCCCTCAACAAAACCGGCAGGGGCCTTATGATGACAGAAGAGGATCTTCAGGGCATTTCGTTAGATGATGGACTTGTTTGGATAACCGAAGTCGATAGCTCTACTATCAAGTTTGCCGCGGGTGACTTCACATCCGTGGATGATCCCGCGCTTTCCGGAGTCTGTGAAACTACTCGTCTGGGAAATGATGAAACGGAACCTTTCTACGTCTGTGTTAACGGCGCATTGTGGGCAACGGCAACGATCACCAAGGTGCAAGACGCTCCGAAGGGGTCAAACACGGTACACTGGCGGGGCGAAGTCTCGGGACTTGCTCCTAACTGTGCCTATACTTGCTCCTTCGTGCGGAGCGATACTGATGAAGAGATCTGTGTTATGAGCGTCAAGACACCTGCTGCAACTGACGCGGAACAAGGTAAGGGAATACCTCGTTTGGCCTCCAGTTCGTCCGAAACAGTTGGCTCACATCGGCCACCAGCAGTCTCTTCGATCCCAACTCCTCCGCAACCTTCTTATCGTCCGTCATCACCGACCACTACGCTCAAGAACTCGATCATCAACGCCGAGGTCAAACTGAATGAGAAACGCGCCCGGTTAAGGAAAGCCAAAAACGACCACAAACTCGTCATTTCCAAAATCAGGAAAGAACTGGATAACTACAACCATCGTCTGCAGAGTGGTACCGATGAGAACCGACAGAAGCAGCGCTCGTTACAGCTTGAGAGAAACATTAAGCAAACGGAGGAAATCACAGCCGCTCTTGAAAGCCAACTCGACAATTTGGAGAACATTCCCGAGGAAGAACTCGAAGAATGGTCGACCCAGAAGTCCAAGTACGAACGGGAGTTGGAACATCTTAACCTGGCTAAGGAGGAGCTCGTTTCTGCTCGGGCCGCTGTTGCTCGTGAAGTGTCGTCACTGGAGTCGGAGCTGAACTCGGCTATCCAGAGAAAGGAACGTCTTCAGGGCCGCCGTACTAGGGTCAATGAACAATACGAGCGGATCGTCTCTGCCAACGCCCAAGGCTTGAATGAGCGGGAGCGCCGTGCCGCGGAACAATTCGCTCGGGAGCAGGACCAGGCGAAGTTAGAGGCCAACTTCAACGAGCAGTTTGCCAGCATCAGCCAATCCGTGCAGGAGTACCAGATGCGCACCAACCAACTGTGGCAGCAAGCTGCTGCTATTGAGCAAGCCATCCAGCAGCAGCAACAGCAGATGCTCTTGGATTCTGCCCCGCTTACACCCGAAGGGAACCTGCCTGGCACCAACCCTCTGACTGAGGCACCTGGCATATCTTTGGGGGCATTGACAACGACTGCGCCCAGCACCCGCTCTCTCCTGGGACTTAGCTTTCCCGCGCTGAAGTCTAGTCCGCTGCAGCATGCCTCGTCCCCCGTTGGTGCCGCTTCGTCTCATCCGACTAGCCCAACACAGCCACCTTCCTATTTGCAACACTTCCCGACTTCCCCGCTTGGTAACGCCGGCAACTACTTCGATACGGATTTCAGCTACCGTGACCGGTCTTTTTCCAACCGGTCTGCGCACAGCAGTCTCTACGGTGCTGATTTTTTGGACTCTAATCGTCGTGGTCCCTTCCAGCTTGATCTCTCCGACACGGTCGTTGAGAAGCGGATGGATTCGGGCTCCGAGGGGGTAACTCCTAACCCGATCATGAGACCCATCTCGACCCCGTTCCAGCGGGCCGATAGTCGTGGTAGCGGAAGTGGAAGCGGAAGTAGCGGTGCAAGCGGTAGTGGAAGTGGCAGTCCCAGCTCGACGGGTGGTAAGGGCAACTAGGCGAGGTGAAAGGACAAGTCTGTGGTTCTCCTCACGAGCTCCATCTGGCTTGTTTCGGGTTGCGTTGTGGTTCCAGTTCCTGCTTGGTCGTGTTCATCTTCAGACGTGATGCTCAAGGTTGTATGGTGGTTTACCTGCTTTGGGGTTCCTTGGCCCAGACGAGTTCGCGGCCGCCGTGTGTCTTCCGTCTTGGTATTCCCATCGCCTGTGAACAAAGAAATCTTGTGTCATATGTAGAGCCTATTCATAATTTGCCGAAAAGCCTGTTTCTGCACATTTCGTGGTTTCATTGTAGATGTTCATTCTATCGGTAGCATCGTAGATGGCGTAACCCATGAGTTGCTGGTCGATAAACAGCTTTTTGTGGTATCATTTAGACCATTTTCTTATCTACTAAGTAGTGTATATATTCTACGCCTTAACATCACTTTTATACTCGATTCGTAACTGCCATTCGCGCCGTCTTACATGAGTAATAGTAGACAACGACTTTCACAGACCCCATAATATATCCTCATATCCGTCCACAACTGATCAAAACAGACACTCAATACCCTCCTAATTATTCCATTCATGTACCAAGAAAAAAGAAAGGCAGGCTTATAATAATATATAAGCACGGCAAAAAGAGATATGCGACACCTCTGGGACTCGAACCCAGGCGGGCGAACCCACAGGCTAAACAGCTAGTACGAAGAGGTAGTAGCAGGCCTGCGCCTTAAACCACTCGGCCAAAGTGTCTGATTGGATGGTGGCGAGGCTGCCTCTAGTGATTCTCTATCGTGAAGGTGAATGGGTGCAGGAGGTGCTGATAATGAGGATAGAGTAGCTAGCTATATATCGCTCATTAGAAGGAATCAGATACCATATTGACTACCAGTGGCCTCTTGCATATGTCTACATATTTACGCTAGGTTAGTTGCATTACACTGCACACATATGTACGTGATGACCCTGGCAGAGAAGGTTAAGTTGGTATGCGGGATAGGATGCATGTGCCATGGTACTACTCTACACCGGAAATAATCAGCAGATTAGACCATCGACCTAATTATTCAGTCCCTCTCCCTACACGGCATGCGAGGTATGGATTAAGACATGAACATGAATCGTATTCCTTATATTACTCCAGACCCATCAGATAGAAAGTCATTTACCCGGACATCCTACAGGAAGATCAACTCTTATCACCAATCAGTTGAAACTCCAGTTACTACTGCTCGCTCCGCTCGTACAGCTCCAAATCGCTTCCAGCCGCAACTTTATCAGATTTGGACACTTTGGCCGAGTGGTTTAAGGCGCAGGCCTGCTACTACATTCCTGTACTAGTTGATTAGCCTGTGGGTTCGCCCGCCTGGGTTCGAGTCCCAGAGGTGTCGATAAAAGATTCTTTTTTATATCTGGTGAATGTTTATATTTTATTGATATATGGCTCTTTCTCTATTTATTATTAGTATTAAATTAGTTCTTCTGAAGCATAGCTAGAAGATATTAATCTCTTACACACTAGATATATTACTAAGTTTTAGAGTGTGTCAAACCCTAGGATCGTTTCCCTGTCCCTGTTAGCTTAGCTTCACTGGTATACGTACCGTCGAACTAGGTCGAGGAGGAATCAGGCTGATGACTAGCTGAGGACAGCTGGTCTTGGACATGAGAAGAGAAGTAAGGCCGAATAGTGCCGCGCAGCTATTCGTAAGTAAGTGCGGACGAGTGTTCTATCGCTAAGCTTTCAAATGTATGGTTACTTAAAGACACTGTTATTGAGCACGAAGAACAGAACTAGCTAAGTACATGAGAGAGTGTCCTTATATATCCTATCCTTCGTATACCATATCATATACCATTCTGGGTAAATTGATGGTCGATCCAATCGTAGTCCAGGATCCCAGTATACCCTAAGTATACCCTCGATGGTAGGCTTGATGGTAGATGCTCACGTGATGCGTGGCCATCTTGGACGTCATAGTGGTAATCCGACAGTTTGGTTTTGCCCGAGCGCTGCACTTATCGGCGCTTTCTGCCTGGCGAGTCCGCCTTACTAGTAGATTAACTAGCACATCTTTTACTCTCTTTTCCAGGAACCTCTCTCTCAGCAACTTAAGTAAAATGAGTCTAGTTCACTATAGGCTGTTAGAGATAATAAAGAAGGCATAGGGTAGAAAATTACTTGTAATTATATTTGATATTATTCAGCAGGAGCTTCTATTTTGATAAATATTGTTAGAAATTTATCATGTTATAAGCTCATGTATAAAAAATGTTATTCCCCGAATTTAGTATGTAGATTCTAAATATAAAATACATTAATAAGACACTTTGGCCGAGTGGTTTAAGGCGCAGGCCTGCTACTACACTACCTTATTGTACTAGCTGTTTAGCCTGTGGGTTCGCCCGCCTGGGTTCGAGTCCCAGAGGTGTCGATTATCATTCTTTTTATCTGGTGATTATCTATATTTTATTAATATGTGGCCCCTTCTCTTTTTACTACTGGTATTAAATCAGTCCTTTCTAAATTATAGCTAGAAGTCATTGGTCTTTTACAGACTGGGTATTTTACTTAGTTTCAAGATCTTCTTTCCAGGACTCAGTATAAGGATCTACTTGTCAGGGTCAAGCCTGTCGACTAGGTAAGGAATCAACCACTAAACACCATGAATTCATCTAGTAACGAGAAAGGTAGCCTATACCCACAGAATAGACTGATCCTTGAGGGATCAGTAGTCCGGTAGCAAAGAACCAGTTGCTTATAGGCGCTGAAAGGACGCGGATCCGCTGTCGATGACCTCACGACTCCCACAGCCGCTGTGATATGTCATTCTGGGGTCCCGACCAGGAAGGATATTCTAGCCATTCTATCACACTCAGCAACTTGAGTAAGAGAGTCTGGTTTACTATAGACCATTGAAAATAATAATAAAAAAGCATGGAGCGGTAAATTACTTGCAGCTATATTCAATATTTTTCAGCAGGAACTTTTATCTCAATCGATATTCTTAGAGTATCAGATTATGTATTATAGAAGTTAATTTCTGAATGTAGAATATAAATACCTCCGTGCTGTGTGCATGATATAGGTATCTAAAAATGAAAATCTACCAATCAGACACTTTGGCCGAGTGGTTTAAGGCGCAGGCCTGCTACTACCTCCTTGTACTAGCTGTTTAGCCTGTGGGTTCGCCCGCCTGGGTTCGAGTCCCAGAGGTGTCGTATCTCATAACTTTTTTTTTCCCTACTAATTGACAGTTAATTCGAATTGCGCCTGACGTGCGAGCCTTCAATGGTGCCCATCATCAAAGGCCTGCTAGTCGTGTTCTCTAACTCATCTGGCTATGTATGAAAAGGCTTTGAACTTTTATATCCCTGTAGTGATTCCAACCAAGGATTGGAAGACAAACCTCTGCTCATGCCATTGATAACACGCCAAGGGAAATGAAGTATTGCTGCTTTTCAGATAGAGAGCTTTTGTGATCGGACAGTTGTGTGAGGGCTAAATTTGCTACATAACTATACAGGTTTAGTTAGGGTAACAACTTATGAGCCATTGTTTGACCCACATGATTTATGGCATGCTATAAAAAGTATGAGAAGACAAACTGGAGATAGCAATGACTCGGGTAGTAACCTAACGATGCCCAGCAATAAATACCCTGTCACTACCTCCGAAGGTACCTCATACCAAACGTACAAGAGCCTCCACAATATCTGCCATTGCACGAGTATCATAAGATGCATTGTGATAATTTCGAGATGACATGTTTTCTTTGCCTCTTACGAGGTACTCCCTGACCGATTCGAGTCGCTTTGAGGGGAGATTAGGTAGGAGTTTCCTACATAGGTCACCGATGTTGACTGGTTGAAAATTCGTAGATGTTAGATGAGAAATCTTGCTGTGGATCAACACATCTTTCCCAGTAAGTAGCCTGAGGAAACATTGCATGTCTTGAGCAGAAAACCAGGATAGTAGCTGTACGCCACTATGGTCATAGCCACAGACAGTCCTGACAAACTCCCTTATTTTGGAGGGGGTATCGCCATTCGTTCTCAGACCGCCATAGCACCTCAGAAAAAGCGTCCCCATCATTTTATGCTTATTAGAGACGTATGGGGAGACGGCTTCTACGAGTTCTCCCATAGACATGCTGTAATCCACACTTTCCGCATATAGAATTTTTCCATCGAGCTGTCTAATCGCAAATTGCAGCGGAATTGGCGAGTATTTAGCTGGCATCGAGATAAATTCGAAGTCAATGATCCAAGTTCTGTTAGGGCGCGAGTAAAGGCTTTTAAGCTGTAGTAAAGCTCCCCGCGTATCACCTGTGATAGATATCTCTCGCTTAGAGGCGCCATCTGCGAGCAAAATCCCGCCCAAAGTTGAGCCAGACAGATTAGAGGCATGATTGATGAGTGCCCTGGAGTGGTATAGGCAGTAATACGAAGCTACAGAAGCCTGGGACTCTGGACATGTATAAAACATGCATCTTCTCTTCTCGTCAACAAACTCCATAGATTCTACCAGGCTCAGCTTCAGTGCATGCGTAATTTTGCTGCGAATGTTTTGTATAGAGGTAGCAGTGACATCTTCGTGTTCGAATGACTTTTCAATGTCTTCAAGTCCCAGCTTCGGTGGGGTGCCAATACCAGAAGCGTCAAGATGGTGTGAAGACCGAGTTAGAATCTGTTCATCAGTGACTCTATTGATGAGTGTATAATGACCGAGCTCGACTAGCTGAGAAGGTTGCACTGGCGCTTTGAAGAAGGACACTCGAGGCGCCTTCTCTATAATCGCATTTATCATGGATTTGATATCTGTATACTTGCCATACATTGGGCTCAATGGCTGTCCAAACCGGTAGCTGGAATGCAAGATTGTGGTGTATAATGTCCACGTCGGGGCAAAACGGCGCGGCCTCCAAGAAGATGTCTGTAAGAAAAGCATCTCAACGTCTGTGATGTAAAGGACCGGACTCAACCTCAATTTCGAATGTATAGGTTGTGAGTCTTTGTAATATCTCTGCATATACTCGACCACCTGCTCTCTGCTGTCAATGCGTTTCCTCTTTCGTCCTCTGCACTTCATCAATTCGTGATCTATCGTCCAGCCTTGGAGGTACAAGGTGTCAGGGGCCATCTCATTGACTACTGCACCCTTAAGAGAAAGTGACAATGGCAAAAAAATTCTGATACTATCTCTGAATACAAGCCAGATGGCCCAATGCTGTGGTGCGCCTCGAAATGGTTCGTTATAATCAAATCCGACTCGAACTGGAATTGCAGATTCGATCTCAGTCAAATTATGGATGTAAACAACTAAATATAATATGGGAGCGCCTTGATACTTACTCTATCGTCGTTATCAATGATCTGTTGACATATGAGCGCGACGCAAGACCCTATTTCATCATAGCAAGAGATATTTGTATTCATCATCGTCACAGCCGATGCCATCTCTGATACAGACGATCTTATCCTGCATGATGGTTTCCAACTTAGCCATTGTTCCATTGCAGAAAAACCCGTCCTGAGGTGAGATCCTTGAGCGAAGTTGTTCCATTGATAGTATGCGTTGAAGAAGCGGATCGGTTATGTCACCGACCTGCCAAGTATCACCGTCGGCCATAAACTTCTTATTGAAAACGTAGGAAATACTGTCACTCCCTTGGAGGAGTTGTGGGAAAGCGAGAATGCCCTTTTTGGTCCAGTCATGCTTGGCCGGGCTCCACAACAGGGTCGAACTCCATGCGAAAGGATATTGTTTGGTAAAAGCGAAAATCAGGCGTGAGCCTTGGGTCAACGCCGAACTTGATCAATGCCTTCTTCCATGGACCATTGGTGAACATGTACCCGCAGACCGGCAGAGCTTCTCCAACGTCGCTTTCACGGCGCAGTTGGAGTTGGCTTTTGATTACCCTGATTGTTACTATTGGGCGGCGCTCCAGGATATCATGAATCTGACGTGCCGTTTCTTTGATAGACACATTCAGGGTCGATTACTTATCGATCAGGCGGCTGCCATCTGGAATCTTCGCGGCATCCATATTGACGGTGGCACCTGTGAACTCCAATCCCCCAAGGATACTGACGATATCCTCTACATCTTTGCAGGCTTGCTTAGAGGCATCGATGGAATTGCTACTGGATGTGCTGTAGTCGTCATCGTCGTCGTCACTGTTGCTATCGTTGTTATCGTCGTCAAAGTTTGCGTTGTCTTTAAAAGCTAGCGAGTCTGCAACCTCATGGCCATAAACAGCTCGACCCCGTCTGTCTCTGTACTCATGTTTGTTTTGGACAGCTTTGTTGTCATTGGTATCTCCAGAACTGTTGCTGACCGCATGGGATGATCTTTTAGAGCGCATAGTGAACCGTGTTGTTCACGAATGATTGTTGACCTTGACCAAAGCTGCTTTGCCCTGAAAGGAGCATTGCGATACGCAAGATGCCTCAATGAAATTTAGTATATTGGACTTTAGTAACAGTAATATGGCGTGTGAGTTAATGAGATGTGTAAGACAACCCTAAAGAGGTGTGGATAAGTGAATAGTGGGGCAATTTGATAGTGTGCAGCCCATGCTGTCACTCATCGATTATATGAAGCCCCCCCTTATGCGCTAGTTTGGATCTCGGTGAATAATGGTAATAAATCTAGAACCCTAAAAAGAAAGAAAATGGACAATATCATGCGTGTTGCTTGGTGTGTCTATCTAGGTGCGAACAACTAAAATACCCCATGTTTCCTGTTAGACTATGTAAGTCACACTTGATACTACAATACCAATTCCTGTTTAATGTACGATGCTCACACGGATTTGGTAAGACCAAGATCTATGGTGTATTAATCTATGTACATGTAATGGAGATAGTGTTTGCGAGATTCAGCTGAAGCCCAGGATATCGAGTATGCGTAATATACAGAGGTAACGTAACTCCTTGAGAGGCTACCGGCACTTTAACAGTATAATGTGTATGGCCCGTATCTAGAGCATCGGGTAATATAAGGGGAGAAAGGCTTGAGTGACCACGGATTCTGAAAGCCGTCTTTCATATCTCGTGGCCCATTTCCCAGAAGTGAGTATTTGCGTACGTCAGGCAAAGGTCTCCAGCCTTTGTCTCGGAGTCAAGGCTCAACAGCTCTCCTGAAAGCGCTCGAACAACAGTTCCCACGACGATCGTGTGGTCCTGGACCTGGATACTTTGCGGGTGGAGCTGACACTCCAGTACGAATGGAAAGTCTTCCGACCCTGTGGTCGTAGCATCCTGCTTCCTCTGCAACAACGGAAGAGGTCTCCCGGAAGTCTCATCACCACGAAGGGAATGTTCGTGCGCAACGAACTCATATTCACTCTTCCCCTCCAAGAGTGACAAATTGTGGTTGCCCTTGGAGAAGTCTCGTGCAAGGGTAGCGGTTGTCTGTCGGGGAGCGAGGAGGTGTACAAGGAAGCGCTTCGACGATTGAAGCGCGCTGAGCGTCTCGGAGGGCCGGCGCACGTTGAACGATATGACGGGTTCCGGACTGAGGGTAACGGTGTTAAAGGAGGAGACGGTCATTCCGCGGAAGGCCTTATCTGCCGGACCGTTGGGATCGGTGGCCGTGATGATGGCGACAGGGTAAGGAACTCGTCTCATCAAGAGACGGACTTGTTTGGATAATAAGGCGACGACATCGTTCTTCGTGTTCTGAACCCCTTTCAAGTCGGATTGGGGATTTCTAGCGGCTGCGGCGACTTTGGTGACCGTTCTGCGGGATTGCAGTTGACCGTATCGGAGAGCTGTTCCAATAGATGGTGCGCATTGCCCTTTACAAGGAAAGAGTTAGTTGGCGTATAATAATTGCGAGCATACAAAGCAGACCAACTAACCTGTGAATTGGCCCACCGTCCGACAGGCCGCAAGTATAGATCTAGAGTAAGGAAGCATTATTATCCCGCGGCGGACGGAGCTCGCAGCTCACGGAGAGACGGGCAAAAGAACAGAGGTGAGAGAAGCAACAGAAAGACTCTCGGAGCCCTCCAAAGTCATCATGAAGACACAGACACAAATCCCTCAACGGTTCAATGGGCAACCATACTAGCCACCAGACCGTAGCACGCAAATTGATGGGTTCAAACAAAGTCAAGTTGAAACTCCGCGACAAGAAAAGAGCAACCCACGGGATGCTGACATAATCCCCGTCGTTCCGCCCCGAATAATTTGTCTTTGGTCAAAGACAGACTGGAAGATCACCGCAGCGTCGCAGTCTCCAGTTCCAATTCTCCCACCTAGGCCCGGCATATTCAATCACCTCGCGGGCGTCCTCTCAATTACCGATTTCTCTTCCGGTCGCCAAAAAAAGAAAACCATGTCCCTCAGCACTCCCCTCCGCCGCACCGCGGCCACCACCTCCCGTGTCCAGACCTCCACCAGCTTCATCTGTTCGCAATGCCGACATGCGTCTCTCCTTCGTCGTCCTAGACGCCCTTACCAATTCACCCAGCTGATTACCCTGACCGACGGCAGCACCTTCACTCACCGTACCTCTTCTCCTCTCCCCGTCTACCGCTCGACTCGTGACACGCGCAACACTCTGCTCTGGAACCCTACCTCAAGCAAGCTGAAGAGCGTTGAGGATGATGAGGCTGGTCGATTGGCGGCTTTCAGAGCTAAGTTCGGTCGCAGCTGGGATGTGAACACGCCTGTGGAGGACTCTTCCAAGACGACGGACAAGTCGGCACAAAGTAAGGAGGCTGCTGCTGCGGAGGCCGCTGCCGCTGCTGAGGAAGAGGACGACAACTTGCTGGATTTGATCAGTTCGTTTGGTCAGGAAGAGCAGCAGGCTTCCCAGAAGAAAAAGAAGGATTGATATGATTGATTGATTTGATTGGGTTGGATTGAATTGTGCTGGGGTGTATGTATGATGATAGTGTGGGCGATTTATGGACCTTTGTTTCCAGTTTCTTCTTTTTTCTCTCGATGTTGTTGTTATACGATACAGATCTTGTTCGGCTTTATGTACAGTACATCATACCATTTGAATGGAGTTTCAGCATCGGTGGTTTAAGACTTGTTTTTCCTGGAGTGTAGCCATTGCACTGTCTTTGAGTCGATGTGAATGAACATGATTAAAGCCATTACTATACTACATTGGAGAAGCCATTGATATCAGGGCGCTGCTGTAGTGATCCATCCCATTGAATACTTATAAACGACTCGCCATAAGAAAATGAACAAACGTGCGCCGCTCCTCTCAGTAAGCAGGCAAAGTGATAATCAACGTTGGGTAATACCGCAAGGCGGAGAGTGGAGGGGACATCAACAAGTCGTCGCTTTTCTTTTGTACAGAGTCTGACAGGTAGGGAAACCGCCTATGCCTCCTCTGCCGGAGTAGCTTCAGCGGTTTCCTCGACTGCAGGGGGCGCCGAAGCATCGCCCACTCCTGCGGCGCCGTAGAGGGGGTTTCCTTCTTCACCCGCATCCAGCTGCAAGAGGAACGTTTCCCAAAGCTCGATCAACTGAGAGAACTATGTTAGCAAACATTTGTCAAAATTGTTTACCGGACAAGTAGCTGCTCACCTCTTTTTGGGCTTCCACTGCACTCTCCAAAAAGGTCTCAACCCCAGATTTGAAATCCTCCACCTTCTCCTTCTCGAACCTCTGGAGTTCATTTCGCATAAGCCGACCCATATCCTCGAATAGTAGCCGAGCCTGATGAACCTTTCTCTCGGCATCGGCCACATCGGCATTGACTTGGGTCAGGCGATCCTGCTGCGTCTTGCCCTGCCTGAGGAGCTTCTCTTGCGTATGTTTGCGCTTCTGCATTTCCGCTTCCGCCGCGTGCCAGCTATGAAAAGCCTTCTGGCGCTGGGAGAAAGCCGTCTTCACACTTCCAATCAAACGAAGATACTCGTCGATTGTGATTCCCAGAGTGAGAACATCCTGTTGAGCTTGGCGTTCGTACAGCTCCCTTATGCGTAGCTGTAGGTCGGAAAGGCCATCGAGGGGACTAGAAAGCGCAGGAGACAGCTCGACAGCTGCCAATGCATGAAGGGAAGCCGAAAAGTCGCCAGCAGCCTCAGCCAGTCCTTTGCGCTGCGCCACCACTGTGTCGACCGATTTCATCAATGCCTTCAACTGATTCTCCAGGGCGTCCATGTAGATCTTGCGGTCATGGAACCACTGAAATTGTCAGCACGGCTACCTGCTCGCACTCGTAGACAAACTTACATCATCATGCTCGACGAACTTTCCACCACCACCGACGTTAATGCCAAAGGAACTGAACATGCCCTTGTTCTGGCCAAGGTCGGGTTCCCTGTTTTCCTTGTTTTTCACGTCCATGTTAAAGGTTTCGCTCTCGAGGAAAATCTTAAGATCGCCATCATGCTGGAGAATAGGGTGTGCCGCGATTTTGTTCAGCATCCGCTCAAGAGCAGCCCTCCTAGACTCGACGAAGTTCGTATCGAAACGACCCACCGCTTGCTTCTCCGGAGGAGGGGGGACAACAACACCGGGGTTGTTGTTATGCATTGAGTTATAGAGCCAAAGGAAGTCACGGTATCTGCGGCTGACCGTAAACTCCGGTTGTCGGTAGGCTTTGGAAGTCGTCTATATGTAGCATGAGCAGGGTCCTACAGCATCCCACTAGAATGACATACCTTGGTTCTCACTTGATACACAATATGACTGCTGGTGAGGTCTCCAACTTTGTGCGGATCGCCGACAGTGATATCGAAGGTCGGGTTCGCAGCCTTTTCCACGCTAATACTGGGTTCTGATTGCCGTTTCGCCCCTTCCGCCTCACTCGGAGGTTGTACTGGCGGAGGTCCTCGAAATCCTGCACCATCCTCTTCCAGATTCACAGAATCCGCTAGGCCAGTTCCTGCGGACGCTTGGGAGGCAGATGATGTGGGACGAACATTGCGCCCTGAGAACTCCTTCTGCGGCGGGGCAGGTGCCTGCTCAAGGGGACTAGTTTCCGCCTTATCCCCGAGCGGACCAAGGGGATCAAACGAGTCATCCACCGCCTCTAACTTCGTCGCTTGCGCATTGATCCTTCGGGTGCCTCGTGGGCCTCGTCGTACAGGGGAAAGGGGGGCACTGGGGCTAACTTGTTGTGTCGGTTGGTCGGGAGCTGGGAGATGTCGTCATCAGGTTAGAAAGCTCGGACAAGAGGTACAGGGATGCAAGATGCTCTTTAGGGACATACACGTTTCCTCTACTTCGGATCGGGATGCTTGATGGGTGGTGCTCGATTGCGAAGGCACGTCTGCATAACTGCGTTAGACGAAGCACGATGCGATTGTATCCGTGACTGCCTGGGTGCTTACCGCCCCACGGGGAGTCACCAGCGTCGAGATCCATGAGAGATGTGGGTAGCCAACTGGGATAGATCGGAAATCAAGAGGTATCAATTAAGAATAGGAATTAGCTGGAGAATCGAAAGACGGCGTGAGGGGTTGGGGAGAGACCGCAGTCGGGGGAGTTGGAGGGAGCGACCAGGTTGCCGTAGTCCGATGATCCGCGCCGTTGTCCAACTACGGATTAGGGTTCCCCCGCCAAGCTTGATGGAGGACCTTCAGGCTGACCTCCATTTGAACTTGCAACTCTTCCCAATGTTTCTCTATAAGAATGTCTTTTCTGCCTATACAAAGACATGTGGTTTTCTATTCAATGCTTACAGTCAGTTTGGTGAGCTCAAGCACTTGGCAACAAACACACTGGCCTGCTGGATGGATTCCAATACCAAGCCAGTACATTCCCCGAGATACAAGCTAAACACTCAAATTCCCGGCCCCTGTTTCTTACAAAGAAGTACTAGACTACAGTATTTCTTCAAGTGAAGCAGATATTTATTTCATATGTATCATCATCATAGCCGTGCGGCCCAAGTCAGAAGACCTCCAACTGCTGGACTACACAGAATTGAGCGTTTCAGCGAACAATTCCTTCAAACTACGTTTCTTTCACCCAAGGAAGACCAAGCTTGTGCATCTCAACAGCAAGCTGGAACAGGTAGTCTAGACTCTCGCACTGAGTCTTGGCTTTGACGACGTCGTCTCCCCACACATAACTAGACACATACATGAGCCCGCCGTCACTCGAAAGTCAAGGGTTAGAAGATGAGAACTTACATTCCGTGTCTCCGCACAAGGACAGCATAGGTGTCCGGGTATTCCTCCATCGCCTTCTCCAAGCTTCCCGTGAGGTCTTCCTCAAACGCGGTGTTATCGATGATCGGGATGCGAAGAGTATCGTAGAATCCCATCATGCCCTTGCCCTTGCCACGGGGGATACCCTTGATCTGCTCAATGTTGCTGATTTCAAAACAGGCGTTCGGGCCCTTTTCGCGCTCAACCAGGAGGGTCACCAGGACCGCCCACTGAGAATGAGTGTGGATACAGCAGCCAGCCCCGCGCTCAAAAGCGGCAAGGAACAGTGGCGTGCATGCCGAGGGCTTCAGGTCGAGCGGCTTGCGAATGTATTTGCGATCGGACGGAGGGTACTTGGGCGTAGGAAATTCCAAGACGAAGATGTTGTCGGATTTCATCATCTCCTTCTGCACACCAGAAGGAGCGATGAATATATGGTTATCGCGACGAATTGAAGTCTAATGCATAATAAATAGTGATCGATTAGCGGTTAATCACGATCGCTCTGGAGGTGCAACAGTGCATACCCCGCCACCAGTACCGGTGACCCAGCCCCAATTGTAGAACCGGCGACAGAGATCAGGGATCAAGTTGGCGGGATGCTCGGGGTCAGACGACTGGACCAAATGGTCATTGTTCTCCTTTTGGATTTCTTGGGCCATGGCGATGGTTATTGCGCGTGGTTGGAAGATCGATTAGGTAGGAACAGACAGCTCGGGGCGATCGGCTTTAGAGTGATTGTCACAAATTCTCTAGCGCTAATTCTGCAGTAGATCTTCCCTAGATCCTGCGATGAGAGAAATAGAATATATATTGGAAATACAGCGACACTGCCTTGAACGTCGTACAGGTGAGGCAAGAGGAGGTTTGACAGAAAAATAAAAAAAACTGTCAGGCGGCGGGGAGGGGAAAGCAGAAGCAAATCACCTCACTAACGCCTTTGGGTGGATTAA